ATCAGTAATAATTGTGTTGACGGTCATAATTATTACTATGTGACATAATGTATGTTTTGTTAGGATGTAGATACAACGTACGTGCTCACGTAATTACGATTGTTGACACTTGTCGATAAATTTTTTTTTTCAATCTAGATCTTGAAATGGGTAACATGACATGTGATATTACACGTAAACACACGCGAAATCTTCGTCGAAAAAAAAATAGTTCATTTATTTTTATCAAATCATTTAGCCACGCCTGGTTTTTGTTTATTTTCATTAATTTTTCTTTTTACCTTTTAATGGCTTTCAAAGAAATCATGTTTGACCATGTGATTAGATTGGAATCTATCAAGAGTGATGGAATGTTTATTATACTACGATATACAATGATATTAAATACGTAGAAAAATTCGAACCCTCCCCCCACACACACACATATATATATATATATATATATATTCTAAATGCACATCGAATATTATACTTTCAATGAGTTTCAATCATTTCTACTACACAGCGTATTTTCTTACAAAAGCAATAGTTATGGATCTACGACATAATTAAAATTATAAAATAAGTACTCATTGGGAACTCAGTAGAAACAGATGAAATACCAAGTGAACTCATCAAGTACGGTGGAAAAGAAAATCATTATTTCATGTTTAATCTATGTCAGAAGATATGGAAAGAAGAGCACCTACCAAAAACCTGGAATGAGGCTATAATCATACCTCTACATAAAAAAGACGATAAAACTGAGTGCGAAAACTATAGAAGAAAATTTCTTTTGAACTCGGCATATATGGTATTTACGAAGATTCTATTAAATCGACTAACGTGGAAGAAAACCTTGGAAAGTATCAATGCGAATTCCAAACTGGAACATCAACGATCAAGCAGCTGTCAATTATAAGTCAACTGATAGAAAAAAAGTACAAGTACCGCCAAAACGTCTGGCAATTATTACAATTATAGTTTATTAGTACAATTATAATTACAATTCTTACAATATTGAATACATATTTTTTTTACGGGTAATCATTTGTGTATAATACAATTAAAATAAAAATTATAATATTAACAAGAATACCTTATTACGTAAATAATATTTGTATAGAAATATAAAAATAGCATATCATTAAAATAGTTTTTTTTACGGAAGATGATTTTGAACACAAGACATTTGTTAATTAAATACTAGTGTATACATACGAGTATATAACATAGAGTTAGTTATGTATCTTTTTATTTATACAATTAAAAACAAAAGATTTGAGTAGGTATTAATAAATAAATAATTAAATATTATAAATAGTTATTTTATTTGTTATATAATTTAATTCATTAATTTCGGTAACTTATATTTATTTATTTTGTACAATTGTAGATATAGTACTTATACGATACAATTATTAGCAATCAATATCTAGGAAGGTTAAGAATAAAGCTTCCTTCAAAATTCTAAATAGATCATTCAATTTTTATACATAAGCAATGGCGTACATACGGGGAAAGGGGGGGTTTCTGAGTTCAAACTCCCTCTAGGGCCAAAAAAAAAATAGTTTATTATTGATGACGTGTAATATATTCGTAGTTTCATTATTATGCTTTGAACTTAAAATATACAACTATACAAATATTATGATAATTAAATAATTATATTGATAGGTGTTTGAAAAGATTTGTTAACTATGCTGTTTTTATATTCCAATAGCTATTAATTTACTGTAATGTTAAAGTAAACTGTAAATTAGTAAAAAAGTTGTATAAAATAATATCTATTTATGGCAATTATTTATCTTATTTATCTGTGCAACGAAAAAAAAAAGACAACGATTATTTTTGTTAAACTCTCCTCAGAGCAAGATTGAATGTACGCCACTGTACAGGAGTATAATTTGCAATGCTCAATAAATAACATTTTGAATATATAAAACGAATAAATAATTTTGTGGAATTTCGTAAAATTTGAATGATTTTAAACTATTCTTGTGTTCTCACCTTTTGAAATCAAAAGCATGAACTTACATTTTTTTGAATATGACATATTTTTGATAATTGTGTAAATAAAGAGTAAAAATTCAAAATAGTATCATAAAGAAGATAGTAATAATTTTAAAGTAAACATATTCAAGTATAAGAACTTGGAAACAATAATTGTCAGTTTGTTTACGTATTTTTTTTTGTTTTTTCGTATATTAACATATTTTAAGTGTGCATAGAATTTTTCTACAAAGTTCATAATTTTAGATTAAATAAAACTGTCATGATATATAGATATGCTTTTATACGAAAATTTGTGAAGATTACAGAATCCATTTAAATTTAATTTTAATCCAGAAATTTTACTTCTTTAATATGAGCCCAATATTTTTATTGTATGCTAACATCATAATAAATACATTAAATGAAAATATAATTTTTGAAAAAAATAACTTTTGTAATACATTTTAATATTATAATAAATGGTTAACTACTACATTTAAAGTATCTTTATATGATTTAAGGAATTTAAAATTTAATTAATTTAGTCTAATTTATGGTAATACCTCGTAATAAGCGTGATCATATAAAATATTTTATATTAAATCATGTACATTCTAAGCACAATACTGTAATAAACATTTTCAAGTTTTTGTTTAAATAAGAATGCCTCTTTCATTTTATTAGATAAAGTTAGATTTTTATTTTTAACCACGTATATTATAATGTTCCAATACATCGTCAAATGTAATGATGTAACCATGAAATACTGTAGTTTCGTAATTTGAGAATTATAAATCTTCAGCAGTTAAACTTGTTAGATGATTTTGTTGATAACAGATAGTAGTTGTATAAATCAAATATTATTTTTGTTGACTTTAGATATGATTTTAAGATAAGTTTTTGATAAAAATGAAGAAGTGTAAAATTTCCAAAAAAATAAAATAAGAAAAATGGTCAGATTGTTTTTGATTAATGTTAAAACTTAATTTGAAAAATAAATGATATTTTAAATTTCTATGTAAAAATTGTTCACCTCAATAAAAAAATATTAATAATATCTTTTGCGATCGAGAATTTCTAAATATTAAAAACTTATAAGATCTTATAAGATTATAAGATTTATCTATTGTAAGTAATTAATTTTTACTAAAAACAAATTATTGCGATTAAACTTACAAATTATTGTTATTGTTTGGAATTCTGTTTTATTGATAAACTAAACCTCAATAAAAGGAAATTAAATATTTTGAATAATTTACACTACTAGAAAGATCCAACGTTAAATATAGTTATAGTTATATACTATATTGATATCTTTTAAAATAGTTATACAGAACCATTTTTCTCTTGTCATTTCTAACTTTTAAAAATATGTTAAGTTTATCAGTTTTTTAACATTATTTTCTAAAAAAAAAATACGAAGAAAAATATTTGTATAAATTATTACTAATTAAAGTGTTATACTGTGTAAATAACTACTTCATCCTAAGTTAAATGTTCTAAAAATTGAGTGTGGCGAGTCGGAGGTCATACATTTTTTCAATATCAGATCTTAAATTACGTTTAAATTTTGAGTTTATTTATGTTACGGCTAGTGTCCGAAGGTTGGCTAATATTAAGATTAGCCGGCTAATCTTAAGTTTAGACAATGCTTTTGGATAACGTCAAAATGTCGGACTTCAGCCAACAAAAACCAATGGATAATCTTCACATCAGCCATTTAAACCAGCATTATCCAACCGTTATCAGCTAATGACTAAATAACATTAGCCATAGGTAAATTAAAAATTTAAAACTATTTAAAATAATAATACAATATTTTGAAATTATAATTTTTAATGAATATTGATATGTTAGGTAGTTGTATAGAGGTGACTGCTAGTACGTGGTAAGTAAAATATTTTCAATAATATAAATATTGTACACAGTTGTGTGTATTTTTATATTATTTTAAAATTTATATTGATTGCAAATTGATATGCATGCGGTTGCATACAGTATTGTATGCTCGATAGAGACAGTCTGTAATAATCTACCGTAATTACCGACTTAAATTTATAAGTAGTGAAGATACCAACTTGTAGTACTTTGTATTTATATCTTGTTTTAAAGCCTAGGAGTAAATAAGTTAAAAGTTAAGTAAAAGTTAAGTTAAATTAACTTATTTATTTAAATTATTTCATTACTAATAAATTAACTTATTTACTTACAAATTAACTTTAAATTAAAGTATTATTTTTTCGTTTATCCCAATTAAGTTTATTTTGATTTTTAAGACCAGAAAAATATTTTTGTAAAACATCGCATTCAGTAATAAGTTCATGAAAATTAAAAAAATATAAAAATAAAAATTTTGAAGAATTTTTAGATTAGACCATAAAATATATCTTGGTATTAACTATTGATAGGGGTCCCACCATTCTCGGGAAAAGTATTCAACCATCTTCAGTATTGAGTAAAAATAGTCATGTCATCCATGAATTACATTACCATTGACTAAATAATTCTTAATAATAATTCTACTCTATTATTATTAAAATTATTCCATAATCTATGATATTATTAAATAAGATCGATATTATTAAATATTATTAAATAAGAGAAGAAATAAAAGAATTTTTGTATGACTTAAATCGTTTAATTATTTTTATAGATAATGGTATTTAGATATTACCCATATGCATCTGGATAATGTTAAATATTGGTGGATAACAATTAAGGAGGAAATAATCTAGTTTCGGATGGCACATATTACAGCATAATGTTTAATATTCTTATATTTAACCAGTTATTTTAGTATAAATAACTTATACACATATATAATAAAATTGTACACGAATATATAACTATACATACATAGAAAATGAGTCACGATATTTTGTATACCTAAATAGTAAATGGATAAGTACAGAAAACGGATAATACTGCCGCCGAATCATAGCAATACCACTATAATACCAGGGTGTTTCTGGGATTTTTGAATTTGCAATAAGTGGTAATGAATACATGATAATTATATGACTCACCGATACGCAGAATCCGATCAACAAGATCAGATAAACCGACGTCGGCTGCATGGCGCGCGTCGGCGGAGACTTTAACGAACTGTTATTTTCTTTATGCGCCCGCAATGCGTCCGGGTGAATTCAAGTACTCTGCACAACGTTTACATAATAATATTCTGATCGAAGTAAACAATTTCCATTGCACGCGTTTTACGAGTGTATAAACGCATTATTTGCGTCGCGTTTAACAGACAAACATTAAACTGAACTTAACAAGATTACCGTGCAATACCTGTTAAGCAAACGGAAGGCACAAGACGAATAGCAACGAGCTGCCGTGAAACACTGAGGACAACCGAAAAACGAAACTAACGCGACACGCAACGCCAACAGGTGAGCGTAGTGTGAAGTGCGGGGTACCAGTAGAACCTTGGAACAAGAAGAGGTGTAGAGGTGCATTGCGAGCGCATGCGCCATAATGTATGTAACTATACAATGAGTATATGTATAACACATAATCCTATACAAGTACGATTATTATTTACTTTTTTTTTTCATTTCGTTTGTATTTGAATGCTGACAATTAAAATATATAATACCGTCCCTGATAATATACAATTTTTATTAGTATTGATTATTATTTTTATTTATTATTAATTCCCATAACTAATAATAATAATAATGATCATCATAACAATGAGTTATATACCTGATTAGCATGTGTTTAAAAACCAATACCTATGTAGGGTGGAAAATTATAAATAATAAATTGTAAAAATTCTAAATATTATAATATTTAATAATTATATTTAATAATTAATAAATATATAATAAATAATATATATATTATTATTCATTAATAACTAATAAATATTTATTTATTTAAATATGTAATATATTATTATATTAATAAATATATAATTAATAATATATAATAATTAATAAATTATACTTAATTATGCCCTAAAGAGATTGATTACTAATTAAGGTGTGTTTCGCAGTTAGAAAAATAAATGTACCAAATTAACGAAGTATCTCAATTTTTATGACATAAAAAACCTGAGAATTATTTTCAAATATGTTTATTTAATCAATGAATGACTGATGTACAAGTTACATATGTAAATTAGAAAAGCGTACCTATTATATATTCCACAAACAATATAGTTAATATAGTTAATTTTTTTGTTATTCATGTTATTCACTGAATCTTTCAAAATTATATACATTAATAAAGTAAATAATTCATGTATGTGTGTATTTATTATGTAAGTTAAAATAATCATGATCGGGAAAAAAATAATAGATCATTAAATAATTATTTAAAAATTATTATCGAGAAGATTTGATTCAATTATATTATGCTTATGCGTTGGAGAAAGTATAATTGAAATATATATATAACGTAAACAAATAGTAATGCGAAAGTGCATAGTAGAAATGCAGAGTGCATAATTTTTGCATAAACGAAAAATATTGTATAAGTAATAGGTTTTCTGATAAATTTTAAGTTTTCGATTAATTTATAAAATTAAATATTTGTATTCATTTTTATTTTAATTTGAACAATAAACCTTTCATAATTCTCAGAAAAATATATTTAACGATTTAACGCGTTTTACAGTTGTTTTTCTACTTATAGAAAACCTAACAAGAATACTGCTTCGTCACTGTTTACAATTTTTGATTTAATACGATATTTTATGAAATTGATGGTGTAATTCATGGGTTCTCAACCTTTTGAGGTCTGCGCCCCTTTTAAAACTATTTTATGAGTTTACGCCCCACCCCTTCACTACTAAGAGATTGTTGTATATGTTACGGTAATGTTAACATTTGGATAATGTTGACATTATTCGGCTAAAGTCGATATTAGCCATCTACTCGTATTATGGCTAATGTGTAATTTTTCATTTATAGGCAGGGATTATCAACATTATCCGGTTAATGTTAACCTTAACCAGTCAATATTGGATAATGTTAAAAGTTGTATATTAAATAGACTATAGAGTTTTTATTGGTATTCTATACAATAATAAAACGTCGGACTTCCAGAGTATAATATCTTATCTTGACTTATAACCGAGTTAGTCAGTTATCTTACCGATAAAGTGAACTATATATCGGTATATGGGTTTAATATTTATCTTAATTGTACGACATTGTTTGTTATAATTTTATATACGCTATACAAAATACGACGTCGTGCATCGATCTGTTGTTAGTCTGCTTTCAGTTTTCACACGTGATAATTGCAAGTACAGTGTTATTAGTGTTAAACTGTTAAGTGTTTTAGATTGCATTTTTAATAAAATGAAAACAAAACTGGAGTTTTATAATTTATTTGAGAAATTGTTGTCTGAAAAACGAGATGATAATTCGTTTTATTAGTCAAATGTAAAATATTTGAATATAATTAATGAATTGAAAGGCGACAATAAATCTCGTCGTTTGAATAAATTTGAAATTATTAATATTGGAGGAGAAGAGAAATTTATAGCCCCTGTTGAAAAAGATGGTACTAATATACTATATTACGCAAAAAATTATGAATTATAAAAATATGACATACTAAATGAGATACACCTTAATACTGGTCATGGTGGTAAACATCGAATGATGGCAGAAATAAAAAAAAAAATTCAAAAATTTGACTCAAAAAGTTATACTTATGTACATATAATTTATTGTATTTTAAATATATTTAATATTGTGAATAATTTACAATGATTTTATCTCATGCGCATTAAATTTTTATAGTTGTTAAGACATTAGCCAATATTTAATAATATTCATGGCGGGTAATGATAACAGTTAGCTAATGTCGACTTTAGCCGGATAATGTCAACATTAACCAAATGTTAACATTGCGCGTAAAATATACATAACATTTATATATGAACTATACTTTAATGCAGGAGCTGGAACCAAACCCAAAAGAATCCTTAAAATATTTGGAACCGGAACCCTCATTATTAAATGAAAAATATCGGATGTAACAAACATTATTAATTATGTTTTTATTCTTAAAATATCAAAGCATAAATCAATTTTTGAGATATAAGCTTTTTAAAAATTTTATTCTTAATTTTAAATTTTAATATTATGTGTTAACAGATAGACGACTAAAGGTTAAACAGGTTAACCTGTTAATATTAATTAATACTCTAATTTCACCAATACTAGAATTATCTCAGTGGTGAATTGGGCAACATATGTTATTATGTATAGTTAAATACTTAATTTAATTTATACATATTACTGTTCTTCAATATGTACAAACTCTGTTTTTGGCCAAATAAATTATTGTTACTTATTATTATAGATACAAATTTGAATCACAACGTAATGAGTTTAAAAACGAAATTTTATTTTGCATATTTTCTTATTTATTTACTTTATTATAATATTATATATTACTATATAGCTGTTAAAAAAAACTTATTGTGATATATATATATATAATACATATAAATTAGTTGAAGAGACATTTTGAGACATTTATTTTCATACGAGTATATTATGCTATGTTACTTAGTATAATGCCATAATAACGGTAACATCTATGTAATTTTTAAATATGTATCAAATAATATTACGAAATAAATTTTAAAATATTTTATTTAGAACCCGAACCCGAACCTTTTAATAAAATAATTGAGAACCGGAACCATAAAAACTTAAAGGTACCAGTCTCTGCTTTTACGTTGGTTATTGGATTAATAAGAATACAACTTCAATGAAATTTTTTTATATTAAATGAATTTATTTGCATAAAAAAAAATTCGACCACAGCGGCGACCAACACAACGGCAAGGCACGGCATAGAAAACGGCAACGTTTTCATTTTTCGTGTTTTTTTTTCAACATATTCTTTCCCCACCTGAAATTTTGTCACGCTTCCCTAGGGGGGCGCGCCCCCCCAGGTTAGAACCACTGGTGTAATTGAAGTCTTACTTTTCGAAAATAGTATAACTACAAATATAAATACAAAAACTATACCAAAATTCTAAACATATTAAAATAAAACATACACGATAATTAAATAATAAATTAAAATAAAAATTATTAAATTAAACACCGTTATAAACTTTATTGTTTTATATCAATAATAATTACATAAAGTAACATATATACTATAGATAAACATATAAATGTAACAATGTAATACGTATATCCTTTACGAAGTTCTGTTTTATAATATTGAATATAAAAAATGTTGGTATGTTGTTATATGTTTTCCTACTACACAGTAGTCTGGAGTAAGTAGTTATTAAACCTGCTTTATTGGTTTGCATTGATCTTAAGCTGTACTTGAACTTGACTATATTTTTTAAATATTAAATAAGGAAATTCATTGTTTCTTACATTTCTGAATATAGTTGCACTTTCTCTAGAATCTCGATTGATGAACATAAATATTGGTCTTGAACAACCTACCGTTCTTGTCACCTTATATTTAATCGACACAATTCGATCTTTTAATCGATTATTTATTATAAGAGTTCGTTTTTGGTTTTGTGATTTTTTTTTCTTTATTCCGGAGTTATTTTTTAGAGAAGTGTGTGGCCATTTTATCATAAAACTCGTTGATATTCTAAGTTTATTAATGGGTTTATTCTTGATTAATTTACCATCGGTTTTACCGTCATCCAAGTAAGAATAATTTTTATTGTAAAATGAATCCTTATTTAAATTAGCTAATTCATTTTTATAAGTAGAATTGCTACTAACATTGGTATCTATATTGCTATTATATGTGTTAAAGGAACTATTAATTTCGTTTAAATTAGAACCATCATCAAAGTTCTTTTTCATGGATTTTTTTTTATGATTTATACCAAAAACCTCTTTTTGCAGCGGAAAAGTGTAATCTTTTGTATAGTCTAAAATAATAAATATTTGTAATTAAATTTTTTTTAAAAAATTTAAATTATAAGCTAGCACAATTTTAATTCAGCATAATGAGCAATACATCAGTAATTCATTACATTTTTCAATATAATATTATTCATATAGTACACAGAACCAATGGTAAATACAAAAAGGGAAAAATTATACAATATATTTAATAGATGATATTTATATTAAAAAAAAATTAATTATTTTGAATAAAAATTAAATAAAAAAGAATAAATTAATTGATAATCTAGGATTTAAATTTTTTTAATTTTGTGAAATTATAATAAAAAAATTACAATTAATCATATAGTAGGAAGGTCAGTGGTGGATGGAGCCCTTACCTTTTTTTATTGTATTTAACATAATGATGAAATTAAAGATTCTGATCGCAGTTAGAGATTCAATTACGATTTATGATATATTTTTTTTTAATTTACTTCATATTTAGACTTATGTTCTAAAATATTTAAACAGCAACATATTGAAATAAAAACATAATCTTAGAGAAGTACATTCTCGATGTTTTACCAAAAGATATCCGAAAAAAGGAAAAAAAAATTTTTTTTAAAAAAATTTCTTGTACAAAAAAAAAAAACATTAAAAAAATTATGCCATTGAATTCTATTAATCATAGGATATAGGTATCAATAATTCGCGTGCACAATTTAATATAAAAATTATAATAATAATAATAATAATAATAATAGGTATACTTAAAAATTGTAATCTTAAAATATAAAATATTAATTTGTAGGTACCTAAAATTGAGAAGTTTAATTTTTTTCTAAATGAAGGCGACTGCATTTTTGAAGAGTGCAATGATTTTGAAGACAAAAATAGGCTTTGAATGTTTTTCACATCTTTATGTTCAACTATATATATATATTATAATATTAAAACAAACTTATATTTTTAAAAATTCAAGTTCAAAAAAAAGTATATACTTACTTAATTCATCAGAAGAAAATAAATAGCCAGAAGGTAAATATGATTTAATTGAATTATTATGCATCATTTTATCGTATTTATTTAATTTATTTTCCATTTTTATTATTTGATTTTTTTTCATTTGTAATATACAGTTACGATTTTTATGCTGTTTTTTACAATTTTTCGAACAAAGTAGAGCAAAATAACAACTTGAACAAGATTCCATGTCTTTTAAAAAATGTTTTAAACACTCATAACACACTTGACATTCTTCCTAAATCAAAGGTTTTGAACAATAAAATGTATGACTATACATAGCTATTTATAAAACTAACTTACTTGAGTGAGATTTATTGGACAGTAAGTTTTTGAATTTTTAATTTGTTGTAAGCACAATAAATATCCTTTGATTTTCTTATTTTCTTCCACGCTCTAAATAATTCATATTTTTGGATTTTAAATTCAAAAACTATTTATAAAATATTTAATTAATACTTACAAATTTATTATTCTCAGTAATTTTAAAATTAAATGGCGATTTACGTAAAATTATTCCAGATTTAATTTCTTGTTTAACTATCTCAAACCCAAAATTCATCCAAAGTAACATGACAGTTTTATTAAACGTAAACGATTTATTTTTTCTATAACTATTTCTAAAAGTTAATAATTATGAATTTTAATACTAAATTATATTTATGAAATAAAATATTTTGCATTCAAAGTATAGGAAAAAATTTTATATTTTATTTCTAAACAATATTGGCCTTAGTTCAGATTAAAATATTTCAACAGATCGACTAAAAATGTCCTTTCTATAAGCATTTAAAATCGGCAATTTACTTTTTTAATAAAATACTAAAAATATATTATTCATATTTATTTTGACTATGAATAATAAACTGTTATAGAATTTAAGATAAAAATCATCATTGTTTTATTTCATACATTCAATATTTTTTAATGCTTAATAATTATCGTGATATTATAACAATGTATATGCTAAAATGTAAAAATAGGAAAATTTTATTTCTCACAGACTAATCGTAAGATGCTCATCAATAATGCATGTGCACTATAAATAAGTACCTACTTCTATATAGATAATAGGTTAAAATATAAATGTGTTGAACTACTTACATTAGTGCATCTTTAGCTCTTTTTGCATAAATTGAATTCAACATTTTTCTACCAAAATTTTCCAATTTTTTCACTATTTCATAGAAATTAGTTAAATGTTGATTCAATCTAATGAATATAGCATTTAATATTATATTCTTTAATTTTTATAGAGTACAAATTAATACTTTTTTGATTCTTTTAACATAAAACAGTATTCATAAATATTGCCTTTGAATTCTTCATTGTAGACCTCAAAACTTTTTAGAGTATTTGAATTTGCTTCCAGCAATAAATCCAAAAATTCAATAATTTTTTTATACGACAAATTAAAATTATAATTTGGGTTTAATAACAATGATAGTAAAGTTCCAAAACCAGAAATAGTTTTGTTTACATTTCTTCGATTTTTACCCAAAAATATTTTTGTTAAATTTAACTTTCCCGTTAACATAGCCAAAGCTATCGGATTAAAACCACAAAAAGAGTGACTTTTCTTGGTAACAGAGTAAAGTATGGAGGCTAGTTCATTTTCAAATTTTTCATATTCTATTGAATTTTCATTGATTTCAAAATTATTTTTTTTTAAGCAGAGAATATCCAAAGGTGTCATGGAAGCCTCATCGGTTGCAATGTTTTTCCATGGTAATTCATATCGTAATAAACTTAACATAGGCTTTAAAAAGAAAAACAAATATAATGCTAAATTTAGAAAATATACATACAAATTATTTAGTAAGATATTATTTTTATTACAATTGCTTTTGAATTTGGGTCAACGTGATGCATGATTAAAACTTCAACACATTTGACAACATTGCAATTAATGTGCATTATAACCGCCATGTGTAACAAATTCAGTTTATATTCCTAATCATAAATCATATGTTAATAATATTACTCACTTAGTAAAGTTAAATTAAATACCTACCTTATAAGATAAAACATAAAGTGGAGATCCACCAGAATTAAAAACAGCATTTAAAACTGTTGGATTAATGCTCAATAAGGCCAAGTGAATGGTTTTTTTTGGTGTAAAACAAGTTGAAGCTTTAGCACCCATATTAATTAAGAGCATAATTGTGTCTTCGATTAAATTTAATTTGGTTTTCCTGAAATCATTAGATATGGTTAAATATTTGTTAAAAAATGTTATGTCTTCATTAACTTTGTTTTTAATGGTAAGTATTTTGATGTTGAACTTGATTCTTCAATTTCATCGTAATTTTCTATAAACTAAAGCATAAATTATATGAATTAATTATAATGCATTTTTTTATTATTGTTTTTGAATAAAAAATGTAATGGATCATACAATTTTTTTTAATATTTATGTAATACCCCCGATTACTTCTGAACATTAATTTATTATAATTGTTCATAGAATTATATTTTTTAAGGACAATTTTTACTTATAATTTTTAAGAGTTCTATAATTTCTATTATACAATTAATTTGTAATAATTTATAATATAGACTACAGTTTAACATTTAAATATTTTTATAAATGCTAAAACATAAATATTATAAATAATTAAATCAGTATTGAAAATGTATGAATTAGGTATTACAATATATAAAATACTGCAGCTATGATATAAATTAATTTCTGACTGATACCATGTTTAGGATATTTAGATGAATACATCAAACATTCTAAATGTACTTTGTGTAGTTTATTAAAATACTCATTGCCATTTCAAAGCTGGATTTAAGCACAGGCTACATAGACTGGAGTCATTGGGCCCACACCACAACAAGGCCCTTACCACACATAACTAAAAAAAAAAGCTTGATTTTTATAGTAAGAGCTTAAAAAATTTGTAAGGAGAGTCCTTTAAATGTTGGAAAATATACAAAATGTATACTTTAGAGGGGGCTTTTAGTCTCTCTATTTGTATATATGTCCTTTCTATTTCCAAAAATCACTCTTTAAACCTTCTGGTAAGGCCACACCACAATTGAGCCTATGGGTCTACATATCCAAAATCCAGCCCTGTACCATCCACAACGTAATAACATTTAAATATTTCAAACTTTAGGTATAAATTATTAATGTATAATAGTGGTTTTAAAAGTTAAAAATATACGTACCTACTAGTATTTTAAGTAAAACAATAATTTTTCAATACTTGTTGGTGAAAAAAAAATAAAATATTTTCAATTTAACCTTCATAGATTTATATTACATAAACTTATACAACTAATTAAATTAGAACAATATTTTTATTAACTTTGTAAATATAGCAATAAATTTACCATCATATTTGGTAGATTTTCTGGTTGAAAGAAATTGATTTTCTGTACATTTTCTATAAGAATATTTTGATCTCCTAAAATTAATTTTTTAATTCAATACTTTTATTATCATTCAATAATTTTAATTAAATTTAAAATAAAACTAGGAATAATGGTTAATGAATTATCAAATCGTATTTATCCAAAATTATTAACTAAAGGGAAACTAGTTTTTTTCTTAAAGACTGTGATTGAATCATTACATTTAATATCTATTTCTGTCCTTTGGATACCTAACTTTACAATTTCACAGACTATTTTTTAAAATTCCAACCATCTCAATTATTATAATCTCTCAATACAAACATAAAATTAAACTACAGTTTAATCTGATATTATAATTAATGTATATTTTTTAAATTTATTCTGAAATTTTTAGCTATAGTATCTACTATACAATTTTTTGATAATTTTACGGTTTCAAGATATAATAATAAACATAAAAAAATTGGAAATATTAAATATACCTATACAGATAAACCAAAATATTAACTACATTTACAGATATTGGCAGTTTATATCAGATAATTATAATTACTTGAAACAACTTACCATTTCTAATTTTAAACTTTAATCTAATATTAGGAATTAAATACTCAGTCCAATTTTTTATGTCATTTAATAAACATATGTATCTCATAAGAGTTAGATTTAATGGAGTAAATCCATCGTCATTATAGCATTCTAAGTTAGCTCCAAGATTTATCAAAAATTTAATTATTTCATGTTGATCATTGGCCTAAGACATAATGTTATTAAAAAGAAAAAAAAAAGAAAAAACAACATTACAGAAGAAATCATTAAACGAGTATTTCCTTTAGAATCAGATACGTCCAAGTCAATGTCATAATTTTTAACTAAATCGAGAATATTTGCTGGAGTCAAATTAAATTTAGTCAACATTTGGACTGCTGCTAACTCTTGGTGGTGGGTGGACATGAACATACTCCGTTTTCCACTCCAAATGTTGTTTACATTGTAAAGCAAGGTCTTCTATAAAAGCAAACTTTAGTATTTTAACTTTTTTCATTGTTAAATTTTAAAATTAATAGGTACTTCACTAAATTTCTGTTGATAAGCATGTGCTAATATCATCTTATCTAAAGTGTTATTATTGTATGCTAAAACTTTTGAAGAAACAAAAAACGTAAATATGTCATCACATTTTTCATTTTCAAATTCTATTTCAGAATTTGTTGCCTTAACATTATCATTATCTTGTTCAATTTGTATGGTCCACAAGTCTTTATGAAGACGATCAAATTGTTTGTCAATTACAATACCAAAGTTGAACAAACACTTTTTCTTGGATTGGGTAGTTTTTTTTGGTATTTTCTATAAAATATATATACATATATATTTATAACCACATATATGTATTTATGTACTTATAAATATAACAAAATATTAGTTTTAAATTACTAAATAGTTTTTTAATACTAAATTGTTCAGATTATAGCCACATATAAAACGGTTTTCATTATCCATATTAATAGTAGTATTTAGTTCTAATGATTTTGATATAAATTCAGAATCATATGATTGCACATCAAAGTATAAACTGTTTAAATGTCTTGTATGTAAGTATGAGTGATTAATATTTAGGTATTTTTCATTGTTATCTCGTACATTTATAATTGAATGAGGCGCCTAAAATCATGATTAAAAAATTAATGTTACTATTTTTTTTTGTCAGTTCTATGTTAAAAATAATAAATATTTTAACAAACTTGAGTAATATCAATGAGATCTCTGAATTGGAGTAGTTTTATTTTGCTAGTATTGTCTGGTACATTGAATGTTGGTACTGTATTTGTTGTTAAATTAGAAGAAAGCCTTAAAAGATGACTCCCTACCCAAAAGCCTACTTCTTGACACTGATTAGGATGTGTCATTACACCGGGTCCAAAACATTGGTTATCTTTAAACAATCCCTAGAATTAATTTTGAGCAAAGTAATTTAAGTTATCTTATTTGATTTATTAAGTACCTCAAATATTAATCCATTTTCATAAACCATACGACCATAGCCATGTATTTGATTTAAATAAAAATATCCTTCATAGGTTTGTTTTTTATTATCTTCTATCCATATCATTAACCCTTGGCCATGATAACAACCTTTTACAATGGGGCCCTTATAAATTTGAGTTAACTGAAGAAAATTTAAAACTCAATTAAACATGAAATATAGTATAAAATTAGGAAACCGAATACTACATTGATAATTTATATGTGGTCAATAATATGACTAAGATATGTAGTTATAAAATATTGACTATTAGATAAAACTAAGCATTAATTTAGTTTCATATTTCATGTTTTAATTTACATTATACATAGTGCTTTCACTGTTTCTAAATTTAATTTTAAGTTGAACTCTAATAATTTAATAAAATTGCAACAACTTAAAATATATTCTTACTTGATTGTGTTTAATAATATCAGTTATATAATTGTTAGTATTATTTTCCCCAAATGAATCAAACTTAGGGGCAATGATACATATTTCTTTTCTGTCCATAATAAAGAAAATATAACATTCAAATATTAACATAATATATATATATAAAAATTAATTTTAATAAATAATAATTTAAAAATGTATTTACAAACATAATTTAGTAAACTTTAGTTACTATCGATATGACAACATGTAAATATTTAAAATGTATAAATAAACACCAACATTTAGTATATGTATTTAAATATTTTGTATTTGTGAATTTTACTTGTAATAACAACAGTTTGAGTCTATAATTCTTCTCTCCGCTTATTTATTTTGTCTTCCAATACCTTATGTAATTTTTGTACATTTCTATTTTCTTTTTTTATATAATTTTCAATACCATCATGATCATTTCCAGCTGCTAAATCTACATTTAAGTGTCGCAGTTTTAATAATCTCCGTTCATATTCTTTCAATTCATCCTAAAAGTTCTATATGTTATACTCAATCCATTGATTGATACATTTAAATTAATCATTTTTCTTACATGCAATAGTTGTAATTCATTTTTACTGAAATTAGTTTCTTCAGCTTTTTTCCAGATTTCTTGTACTTTGGGTTCAATAAACTCTTCACTATTTGGACCAGAAAGAGACAATCTATGAAGACGATCAAAACTATCCTTTATGTCATGTATACGATTTCTAAATATAATACATTTAAAAATGATTTGTTTATAAAATGTACAAATGCAATGTAAAATTATAAAATAAAAAATATTTACTGAAGGTTTCTTTGTTTATGACTGTAGTTGATGATATCATCAGCTTCATGCAATGAATTATAATTATTTTTTAATCTCTTTTTTGAAATAGCTATAATATTTGTAATTAAGATAAAATTCACAAAGTTGTTATTGATATTAGATGCAAATTTATAAATATTTACCAATAGGAACATCATTTTGCATGTTTTCAACTTCATTTGTCAGTGAATAAAATTCATCTATTTTTTTTTGGTGATTTATAAATTCATCTTTCAATGCTATCAGCTCAATGCCTTTACATTAAAATTAAATGTTAGAACTGTTATATTTTAAAATTAATAATATATAATTAATAAGACTACTTGTGAAACCAGATTCTTTAGCCTGGATCCATAACTGGTTTAATCTTTTATCATGCAATAAGTATTTATCAACAACTTTCAATGAGTCTCCAGATTCTTGTTCTTGTATTCTAAAATCTGACTGATTATTTTGAGGCTTATGAGCAGTCTCGTCAAAGTGATAACTCAATTTATATCTCTCTAATATACCTTAAAAATAATAAAATATTAATCAAATTTAAACATTTTAATTTATATTTGATACATTTAAACTATAATTGAATAGTATATTTGTAGTAAAACAGTGTTAATAATAACTTTTACAGTTGAAAAATAATTATAATATTTTAAATAAAATATTTTTAATTAAAAATATCATAGATCAATTTCTAATTTACAACAATTACCTAAATCACAAAGAACCTACAAAATTAATCTTAAATAATTTTAATAATAAATAACTAGATATATATTAATTTTTTTAAAGAAAAAAAGTTATATATTGAATTACCAAAAAAATAAAAATAATAAATTACCTAAAAGTTTTTTCCGAACAATAGATTCCATTTCCCCATTTTTATCTAAATTTTTTGTTTTGTATGCTTTTAGTTCACGTTCATCTTCATCTTGTATTCGCAGCTCCGATAACAATGATCTTAATTCAGGTTCTGAGCATCTCTGTAAATCATGAACATACTTTACAGAATTTTAAAAATATAAATTACATTTTTCATTGAATGATTCCTACCTGTTTCGCTTTGCTCCAAACTAAATTCAATTTGTTTATTTTGAATGGTTTATTTAGAAAGCGAACATTGAATTCAGGTTCATTGTTCAAAGACAATTTTTTTTTCAAAGTTTCATTCTCGTTCGGGTGTGAGTATGCGCAATAACAGAGCAATAATATAATTAAAACTATTCTCTTGCCCATGATTTTTAAAGAATCAAATAGTTACGTAATAATAGTTCTAATGATCTCACTAACACCAATAGAGAAAATATAAAGATAACTACCATGAATTTGCTGTAGATATACCTGTAACCACAGAACTATATATCAACACTATAGATAAATAGATAATGAATCACGATTATTTCTTCAGACATCATTCACTAGAAGTGGGGGAGGGATAAACACTAAAAAAAAAATTCGTTGATAACATGGTTGATAAACATTACACAATTTTTTAATCGGAAACTTAATTTGGAAAGTACAACTAAATATATTTATTTTGATTCATCATAAGTTGTAAATTTTTTCTATCCATTAAATATAAGCTTATTGTTATTTTGTGATTGTTGTGTTATTATCATGTGGTGTCAATTTGATGAATGCTCAATATCCAGTGATTGTCTTAAACTTACAAAGTGCACTTTCAAAACTAAATCAAAAACCGAATTTTAATCATTAATAACGCTCAAGGTTAATTTCTATTTGTATGAAAATGACATTCAATTGTACAAATTCATGATGATTGAGGATAGCATAATATGGTTTGTGTCTGGCGGACTCTTGTTTACAACTGTAATATTGATAGTTGCTTGTATATGTGGATGTCATAAATCAATCCCTAAGTAAGTTATTTATTTTTGTATTTCATAAGTTTGTTTATAATTATAGTTTGGTGTTTCATAATTAATTTCAGTTGTTTGTAATAAAATTGATAGTAAAATATTTGATCAGTGTTCTTAGTATTACTTAAATCAATTATATTGTTATGCATGCAACACAAATTTCATAATACATTTTTTTTTTAAATTAAGCATATTTTGTATTTCATTTGTGTATTGATTTTAATTTGTAATAAGTAGATGAGAAATGTAGTTTTAAATTTTGTAGACTTTCTTAATTAAAATAATTATAATATCTACATTGATTTTATTTATTTATTTTATTTGAAGAAAATAATATAATAAAAGTAATTATATTCAATATTTATGATTAATACTATTGACTATTTTAAATTATACAATTTTTTTTCATATTTTTTGATGTTATCTACTTAATGTCATTGATATGGATTATGGCTATCCTAATTAGGTTCGATTAATTCTTATGTTATATTTGTTATATTGGATATCTTGTTATAATGTTATCATTCCATTGAATTTGTATATTTTATATATTGAGAAAAAATATCTGTGTTTTCCTTTTGGAAATATTAATATTAATTTATATTAATATTTAATTAATTTAAATGCCATTTATTAAATATATTTTTTTTTTAAAATTCGTATTATAATCCTAGCATTAAAACTAAAACCTAAGTAAAAAGTATTCAATATTCCTCTCAATGAATAGTTAAATTGCATGTATAAAAATAATATTTATCATATTGATTACATACTATGGATTACCATTTTTTTATAGTTAAATAAATATCCATAAACTACAACTGTCATAACTTTAAAAGCTTTAAAACCTTGTCTATTTACAATATTTTGATAACATTTTTATTCATAGAATTGAAAATATATTGAAAGTACAAAAAAATATAAATTATTAAGACTTTTACAAAATATAGAAATAATACAATTAAACATAAACTAACCATTAGAGTGCTGAATATAATTTTTTTATTTTACTATTTTATTAATATTATTATTATTATTATTATTTGAACAATATAATGACTAAAAATAAAGATAAAGTGTTTGGTAAATATTTTCAAAGTAATAGTAAATTTAAAATAAATAATAAAATTTGATTAATTTGTTAATGCATATTTATATATTATATATGGTATTATTAATATTAACAATTATAAACATTTGAAATTAAAAACACCATATGAAGATATAAAATTAAATAAATATTTTTATTATAATTTCAATATAGTCAATAACAACTTTCTTAAAAAAATATTTTTTTACAAATTATAAATTTTATATGTTCAATAAAATGTGAGTCTAATGGTAATAAGAAAATATTTTTAAAATTTAAAATTAATTTTTTTAATTATACAATCAATTACATTATTTATAATTACTACTATACATATTATACAGAAGTTAATTTATATACATTTACTTATGTTGTATTTCCTTATTTTATATTTTGGTTGAATATAATTCAAATTTTTTCGTCCTTGTTATTAGTCAAAAAGTTTTCTGACTAATTTATAGATTATACTTATTTTTAATTGAAAAAAATAATATTTAAAAATAGATAATAAATTTTTAATAAGTAAAAAAATATTTTCTTTAGGGATAAAATTAATTGCCTGCATCTAATAAATACTGTCTAAATTATTAAAAATTTGAAAAATAATGATTTTATTTTATAATTAATAAATATACTAAAGTAAATTGCTTGCTTGTATGAAAAACTACCAAAGTACAGTCCCTTGCTATTGTTAATATAGTATTAAACCTAAGTTTTGTGAAACATAATTAAATGAAAATAGATATTTGAATTTGGATTGTAATATTCTGTATATTTTTGTTTTATTTGCTTGTAATTAATAGAAATGAATTACTTGGTCTTGCTGGCATGGTAAAAATCACCAACCCTGATATTGAAGCAGTACCAGTGGATAGGAATTCAGTTAGTCCATCACCAACAAATAGTACAAAAAGGTTTTTATTGTAAGAAGTATTAATAACTCCATTAGTAATTCTATTAATTATATTCCAATAGAAGTTCAGCTGGTGCAACTTTATCCTCAGCCACAAGAAGTCTTCCTGATTTACCTGTAGAAACTCCTAGGAGTTCAGATGCTGTAGCCACTGCTGTTTGGTATGGTGGTGATTCAAACTCTGAATTATATGCTACTGTTGAAGAAAACAAAAATGGAATCAAAGGGGAGCCTTCGAAATATGTTAATAATAATACCATGTCTCCATCTAGTGGTACTACAGCATCTAAAAATGAATGTGTTTATGCTTGTGTAAACAAAGAAAATCCATATGACAAATTACAACAGGAACATCCATATGCTAAAGTTGGTGTGAATAATTCCAATAATCAGAATGCTAATTCCCAAAGGTAATTTACTCAAATTATGTTTATGTAACATTCAAAATATATTTCAAAATTAATGTTATAGATTGGAAAAAGGAAGTTTAACTGAGTCCATAGAATTAGATGTAATTGATAGGGTTGCTCCTGATCAAGATATAGCAGCTGCTAGTGTGATTGCAGGCGATGAAGCTGCCAGTATTAACATTCCTTATATGACTCCGCCAGTAGGGCTTGTAGATCATCCATTAAATATGCAACCAAGACAGGGCCATTACAGTGGCGATTCACATGATTCTAGTAGTATGAATACTTAATAATTTTTTTCAATGATAAATTTTTTTTTAATGTATTGATCAAATTTCAGAAGGATACACCAGTATCAGTGTTCGAGAACCATTATCAAGAATTATGGCTAGTGCTCGAAATGGTGGTTTACAATCAGATCCTCATTATGCATTTGTCTCGGACGATTCTGGTTCGAAAAAACATTAATTTAAATATTAATATGTGCTATAACTACATATTTTCAATTTTAACAGATGAAATGTATGCAGCTATCATTGAACCAACTACTAATGTGTATACTAGTGGAAGTGAAACATATGCTCAAATACCAAGTGCAAATAATATCCCTGTTGCTTCAACTGCTCAATCATATAAAGCTTCTACATCACACATTAATGGAGTTGAACAAATACAAACACATTCCAGAAAGGGTAATTGTTTAAAATTGTTATTTAAATTTTGAATAATCAAATCAAATTTCTTTATAGATTCTTCATCAAGTGCTGTTAGTTCCAATTCACCTAAACCTGAAAAACGACCCGCTAATTCTCCTCTTCCTAAACCTCCAGAATATTTAGATGAAATGTATGCAAAAGTAATGAAAAAACGCAATGATTCTCCAGAACAATCATCTGCTGTGCATTGCTGCATGTATGATGAAGGTATTTATGATAGATTGGTAGAGCCTAAAAAAACACAGTCATCAGATGTTGATCCTAATTATGAAGAGCTAAGACCTACTAACCATGGTTATGCTCGAATAAAGAAAATTGACAAACCATCTGAACCCGACTACGCAAGTTTGACTAGGTCATTGAGCACTGAATATGTTGAAAGCGATCCAAATTATGAAAGCTTAAAAGTAGACTTAAATGAAATCAATCATAATTCAATTTATTCAGAAGTAAATAAAAGGTAGCTTTTTTATAAACAGCATTTTATGTTGTAAATTTATTTTAGCAAGTGTAAAAGTCCTTAAATTCTTTTCTACTTTGCTTTTGTTAATTTTGTATTTGACTAGTATGTTTGACACATTTTGTTCTAACAATATTTAATTTATCATTCTAAGTACCACTATTTTTATATTTACACCAGATTGTATGATTATTTTTAAATTGTGTGTTCATTATTTATGGACATAACGATGGCTCAAATTTTCCCAGAGGCCACCATAAAGTATAATATTGTGATAATTGATTAAAAATGATTTAACCATTAAAACCCACCTTAAAACTATTTCAATTTTTATTTATTATTAATTTCATTAAAAATAAATTTAGTACCATTGATTTTAAGTATAGTAAAATCCTTTTCTCTCAAATTTTTATTATGTTCAAGATGATTTATGTTTTTTATCTATTGGTGAAGTAAATGAGTTCTATAACTATTAATATTTAATATTGTTTATAAATCATCATGTTATAATTATATTTTAAATTACATTAATGTATTTAATATATATTATTATTAATCTAGTATTAAGATGTATAAAAGCACAGACGTTTTTAACCAAACTGCTATAATATCAAATTAGGTTATTCAATTACAGACTGAAGTATTATTTTTTAAAATATTTTTACACATAATCTACTTAACAAAGTATTTGTAATTACATTTATATATATATTAGTTTTAATTTTAATTTTTTGCTTAAATTGTATATGTAAAAAATATGTTTGTATGTATTAATGTATTTTTTTTTTTTACCCGCACATTATTTGTTAGTTTGGTTCTAAGTTATATTTTTACACGCATTTCATACCAAATTCTTGGTAACAATTGTAAGTGCTATACCGTCCTTTTTACAACATATTATGTTTTCAATTTGTTATAATTTTCTACTCTAGTTTATTTATATGCCTGTGCAGATGCATGTTTAAACAGCAAATAAGTAAACTTGGGTTAATCCTAGCTTTAAAAATAGATCAATACAAATGTACTTGGATTTTCTACCAAGTTGTTTGATATTGACTACATAATTTACATAAAATTAATGACTTGTTATCAATATTATGGTAATATTCTTTATATCTATTATCTAATAGTGTATTGCTATTTGTATAATTTAGATAAAGTATTAAATATTGTTTTGTGTATTTTTGATTTTTTTTTATATTCATATGTTAGTTAAATTCATTGTTTTTATAATACTCTGAGTATGAATTATGTTATTACACTATTATTTCTTTTTTATTTCTTACTATTTACTGTTAATATTATTTATAAAAAAAGAAATTAAAATTAAGTTTAAGTATTATGAGTTTATTACAGTAAAAGTGAAACATTTACAGCGCTCAAGAGATGGAGTAGTATACTGCGACTATTAGTCTCAGAAAAGTTAATATTATTAATATAATATCGGCAATATCACCCATCTTAGATTAAATAATAAATACATTTACTTATATTTAATCCATATGCCCATATACTTCTTAATTCTTATATTACAGCTCACGCGCTCAAGAACTAACTTTTAATCAAAGTTCCTGTTTCCCTAGAAATGTACCAATTTTACCATTATATAACTATAATACAATATATAGCTCTATCATATATGTTTTTAAAGTTATTAATTTTTAAGATATGTATAAAATGGTAGGTAAGTTGTTACAATTACCTACCTGAATGTTTAGTAAACATGTTGGAGACATTGCTGTTAAACATTTTTTTATTTTGTTTGAAGAACCAAAATCATTAAGCATTTTAGTAGGTACTTCAAGACATTATTGTAATATTTTAATTTTTAAATAATACAATTATATTTACTTATTTTACAATATCATGTTATTCTCTTTTATCAATACAACATTCCAATGGACACATTCTTATAATCTATTATAAATGTATTAAGCTCAGTATAGATGAAATATAATATAAAACATATATGAAGCATTGATCAATGTATGTTATTAGCACAAATTAAATTTAATCATTCAAGAACTAATTCTATGATATATTTAAAATTTTAATAATAAAATTTAATTGAAAAATAACTACTGGATATTGAAATAGAGTAAATTCAATCTATTAGATGAATATATTAATAAGTAATTGAATAATTATTTAATAAATGTAACCACTAACTCATATTCTGTGACATATCTGTTGTATCATTTACAGGAAATTATTTTCTTTATTTTTGCTATGATGAAATGTTTTCATTCCCATTTCATCTTTATTATTTAAATCTATTTTGGGAGGTTTCTTTATCTATACTTTTTGGTGTAATGTAAACAACTGAATGGTTGTGTTATTTGTTTTCTAACTAACAAAATAGTAACCATTGATATATTATAACTAGAGCAAGGACTTTCATGCACTAAAAAATTATCAAATATGCATTTAAAAATATGCTCTTATGCATCAAAAAATTAAAAATATGTGGTTAAATATGCTCTTAAAAAAATTAATTTTATTATTAATCACTATAAGTTTTAACTAAATTTATTTTATTAAATTGATTTGGAATCTTTTTTGAATGTTGGATCCCAATCTTCTTAATTATTATTCTGCATCTAATAAAACAAAAAAGGTATTTTAAACCTAGTTGTTGAATTATTTTCAACTAAATTAGAATTGCACTGAATTATTAAATACACAAACGTTTTAAAAAAATTAAACACACACGCGGTGAATTTTCTAGAACTAATCTAATCTACCCACTGACTATAGATACTTGATACTATCGTTTTTTACCACTTACCTACTATTCGATTTGTATTACGAAAATACAAAAATAGATATAATTAATACTGACCATTATTATTATTTCAAGATAAAATTCATCTCTATCATCTTTTGTAAGTTTATAATATATTGTTGACCTTGATTCATGAATAATATTCACTAAAGCGCTTGATTTTCAATAAACTATCAAAATATGCACTAAAAGTTTAAAATATGCCCTTATAATCAAAAATATGCCCCTTAAACCAAAAAATGTCTAAATATGCAAAAATATGTACAAAAAACTTTGAATATTTCATCATAAACATTATGAAATGTATTTTGTACTTACCAAGCATACGATAAAATTAACCAGAAAAAATATGAAAGTCCTTGCTTTAATTATGACTGATGAGTGCATTATTTTTGATTGTTGTTTAAAGGATTATTTTTTACTGTGAAAACCTAAGTAATTTTAATACTATGGAGGTTAATTAGATGAGAGGTGCGCACATTTTAAGAAATAAAACAAAAGCCTCATGAATCATCAAACCTAATAATGTAAACTAGTGGCTCTTAAAAAATGTAGGTACTAAATTAGAAAAATCAAAAGATTGTCAAAAGTACTAAAATAAAATTAACTAAATAAAAGGATTTGACATATAAATGAAACACAATAGATAAACGAACAAATTATGAGGATAAGAGAGAAAAGGATGTACTGGATATGATAAGATGGATCTATCAAAATCCAATCTCAAGTACTAATAGAGATAATATTAAAAAAAGTAGATGCACTGAAAGAAGAAAGAAATATAATAGCTGGAAGGATGAACTTAAAAAAGGATTCAAGATTAAAAATATATTAATTATCTGTTGTATAGCTTATGATTATGATTTATGATACAACATCAATTGATTTATTGGAATTCAATAAAGGAAAAATAAAGTTATATGTTAAATTCTTATTCAAACTTTTATTGTTGAGTGACTAGCATTTAAAAAACTAAGGTTTTTAATATAATTAAAATAATTCAAAATTTAAATTTTAGAAAAATAATAACATGATAATAAAACAATGAGAGGTAACTTAATAAAATGAAAAGAAATTGTTTCCTTCTTTTTAGGAATGTTGAATAAATTAATTAATAACATTAATAAGTTATTATTTATTAATTATTAGATTTGTTCATCATTAACATTTCCGTTTGATTTGTTGGCACTTTAATGTAAATCACTTTTTTTGGTCTTGCATCATTTGACATTTGCACAAGATCATCTTGATCTTCCCATTTCCTTCTTTCTCGAGCTTCTTTTGCACGCTTATGATCTAACCAATTAATTATACAAGAAGCTGGCACCCATATCAAACCAGTAATTAATATAACTGTGCCTACAATGTTATCTTTTAAAAATCTTAACATTTTATTGATGTTGATTTCTTCAATAATGTCCCAGAAACGTTCTACAACATCTTGAATAGTTTTTTCACAAACACCCTATGATAAAAAAAAACATAATTTTGCATATTTTCAAAATAATTAAATTATAAATAATACTTTGTTGCAAAATCCTTGAATGCACGGGGTTCCATCAGGTAAAACATCTGGTGGATCAACTGGGTAACATGTATCGTTGAGATTTATACGACAACAACGTCTGCATGATTGCAATACTATAAAATTATGAATAGTGATTAATAATAGTATCAAGATTTAAATAAAATAAAAATAAAAATAGAAATTATCATGGCTTATTTTAAACTTACTAGTATCACACATACAACTTTGTAGTCCTTGGGTCTCACAAAAAGGTATACATTTTCCTGAACGACATTTTCCTTTCTCAAGGCATCCTGTACCATCTGGCATAGGAGGACTTTTTGGACATTCAGCTCCTGTACCAGTACAGCGTGATTCTTGCTCACAAGTAGAAAATTGTCCTTCACGACATTTTACTCCGGATGCCATAAACTGGCAATTTTGACAACATGGTGAATTTTTATCACTAGCAAAATTAAATTTCGTGAGTGATTCAAAAAAATTATTTTATTACGTTATATTACCTGCATCGAGCCCCTTGAGCTCTTCTGAGTTTACAGTTTTTGTCACAACATGAATCATTATCTTCAGTCCCTAAAAGGCCAGCATCACATTCTTCATTGCCTTCAACTCTAAGATTACCACAAAATGATTCCTCAGGTTCAGAAAAACAACGTGCTGATTTAGCTTGTAATACTTTACGTATAGACCGTAAGCTACAAGGAGAGAATCTCTAAAATAATAAAAATAAAGTTATTAAAATAATGGTTGAATTAACTTAATTTAATTAATTAACTCTTACTTTGTTGTTAATATCATATCCACTGACACTATAAGTATACATAAGAAAAGATCCACCCTGACTAGCAGTCGGACTACATTCAGTTATATCTGGATCATGTTCAGATCCCCAATTATGACCAAATTCATGAGCAGTAACTAAATCTGCTTCTCGAGTAATTACTCTCTGACCATAATGATTGCGACTTGAACTTAAGCCAGAATTAAGGTATAATGTATATCCATTTTTAAAATACTCTGTGGAATTAAATTTTTATTTAAAAAAATGTATGGTACATTTTTGATAAATAACCATCACCTGGTGTACAAATTCCACCAACTGAATTGCGTCTAGGAGAACCCACATAAGCAAGCCCAAGTATACCACCTTCAAATTTCAGGTCAGTAAATAAATGGGCCAAACAGAAATCTTTATGGCTATATTCACGGCTAAATACCTGCCACCATAAAAGCAAGCAACATATAGTAACTTATAATTTATTTTTAAAATTAATTTTGTTAAAGAAGCATATACAGTTAGCAAGTGAGTATGATGATTATTAACTAAGTAAATATTTCTATTTATTTTTAATAAAAATAAAATATTAATATCATACAAAGAAAAATCAAATATATGTTTGTTAAATAAAAAATAGAAATTGTAAAAAGTTATATAATTACAATTTTAAATTATTTTATTCTTATAATTAAATAACATTTTAAGATGAAAAATATTCAAAAGCAAAAATAGCCAATTGGCTTTAATTTAAAAAATAAAACTATGCATTAAACATAAAACAATGTATTTTAATTAAATTATCATAAATATTACATATTAGTTAATTTAATATTATAATAAAATATTACTTACACTATTTATACTCTATTCAAGTCAAGAGAACACTGATCCATATAGAACATGTTCAACTGTGGGATTGAACTATGGGCACTGCAGGGTCATATTTACCATTAGGCAGGATAGGGAAATGTCTATAATTTCTGTTATTAGGAAGTTAAACATTTTTACAAGCCTTTTTTTTTTTCATACAACTTAGCATAAAATAATTATAAGCGAAATATAATATTAAAAAAAAAATACAGTGTAAAATTATATTTTACCATTTTTTTTCTTTCTAAGGGATCTCAAAATATTTAATCAGACTCTGCAGCACTGCCAATAGTGGGGAAAGAATGTTTGGACACAACATGATTTTGTTTATTTCCTGGAGTTCTCTTAACTTTAAAAGAGTATAGTAATAACAAAAATAAAAAAAAGCAAATATTTTTAGTACGCCAGATAAAATATATTATTAGATACTGAGGTCCATTTTATTATAGCTGTGTTATAACTCATTTCTATAAACATTATTAAAGTAATTAAGGGCAAAATCTAACACAGTAAATAATTTAATTTTATGAATAATTATCATTTTATCACTTGAAAAAATTAGTGTTATTAAAACTTAAATTAATTCATAATCTAATAAATTAGGTACCTATAATATAAAAATGTGTGACATGTATTTATTAATTAATATAACAGTCAACATAAGATTATATAGACTATAAAACCAATTTTTAATAATAATATTATACTATTATAGATGTTAGTATGAAAAGCATAAAAGATACTAATTAGTGAAACCATTCCTGTGTGCTGTTAATTATTTTCACCAGTAAAAAAATGCCATAAACAAAATATTCACCAGGACTACATATGCCACCAGCTGTATAACTTCTTGGAGAGGATATATAGGCAAGACCCAATACTGAAGTTTTTGAAGATCTGAATGTTTGATGTGTAAACAGATGTGCTAGACAATACTGGGACACGTCTTTTGATTTAGAAAATTCCTAATTTTTTTTTAATAATAGATAAATTGTAAAATTACAATAGGATTCATTTTAAATAATTGTGTAATTTTATATTTTGTATTAATATTAAGTAGCAAATAAAATTAGTGGAAACTAAAATTTTAAGCTAGATTTGTAAAATTAGTGGACTAGATACAATTAGGAGTAAATATAAAAGAGGTAATTGAGAATGAAATACACTAATAAAAAGAAAAAAGATACAGAAGTTAGGATAAACAGTAGAAAAGTAGAATCATAGAGGGCAAATACAACAGTAAAATATGTAGGATGAAAAAAATTAATTTGGAAATACATAGAACATAAAATATAAAAAAGATCATCTAAAATAAAAATACCTCAAGAAGTGATCGGACATCCCATTTTTCTCTAACCATGTTATAATGATCTTCTGAACTTCGTACTTTAGTTGGATCACTATGAACTGTTATTTTTTTAATCACAAATCCCATACCGCGAAATCCATCAGATTCTTGTCGTTCTAACCATAGAGTATCATTGTAAATTTTATGAACACGATCAATAAGGCTGATCTGAAAAAAATAAAATAAAAATTATGGTTTTTTAAATTTTTTAATATATGATTTATTAATTCAATAACAGAATATCTCGCGGTGATTTGTACATTTTAAATTTGTAAAAATCTAATGTAAATTAAATGATTTTACATTGTTTTAAGTTTATGAATCTTACACATATCGGGCATATAATACAAAAAATTAGGATTTATATTTTAATAATATAAAATGAAATAAAATTTAAAAATATATTTTCTTAATAAATATTACTGCTGAATATAATAAAAAAAAATAGATACTGATTAATTACTTCAACTACCGTACTAATATATTTTAAATATAATTCAAATTAAAGACATATAAGACTAATAATAAAACAAATATTTGCTTAATTTATAAATATAATAATACAGATAAGTTAAAAAACATATGAAAAAAGTTAATAATAAAATTTAAGCATTATGTAGTTATTAAAACTATATACTTCTATTAAGGGAGTTTATAATTAAAAATTTGAAATAAAATGATTACATTAAATTTAATTTAATATTTCTCAAAGTATTAAATAATTTTGTGGAAAGTACAGTGGAATCTCGATAACTCAAATCGATCCAGGAAACCAAAAAAAATGTTCGTTTTCGAAAATGTGACTTACAGAAAGCTTTGATAACTCGAATCGGTTCGAGGAAAAAAAATTTATTGGGAATATTTTAATATACAACACAAAAACTTAATTTTATAATTTTATTTATTTACTTATACCATGTATAATGTACATATGTATATGTTAAAATTTTCAAAAAATTATTTAATTTATAAAAGTCTTGTCTGGAACTTCTAGATAATCACAAATATATTTATGTATTACTAATAAATTAATACCTGAACAAGAGTATTTAAAGGTAAAGCAATTTCACATAATGTGAATAATATTTGACTCCTTCTCAATTGAGTCATTAGGCATTTCTATATTATTGTTATTTATGAATAAATACTTTTTATACATACACTAATTATATTATTTCAATAATTTTCGTTAATGGTTAAAAAAAATTTGAATTAGGGAAATTCAATTATCAAGAAAATGTTTTACATATATCATATATTGAAATGCACCGGCTAAGGCATTCCTTCATATAATCAAAAATTTGATTTATTTTGGTTCTACTATACTTACTAAGTAGTTAATAGTCGTTTTTGTATCACCTCCACCCATTTCTCTAAAAAACCTATAATCAGCAACTAAAAGCAATGGGCAACGTGTTCTTGTTGGTGTTGTCATATAATCATATGAATCAGCATCACGTTTAGATCGTGTAAATGTATTTAAATAATCATCTTCTTCTACAGTTTCCACTTCTGAAAATGTTTTAATATTAATTTAAACAAATTCAGAAGAAAACAATTAACAACACAAACCTGCATCTTCTTTTACATAAGCACATGGTTTATGTTGATTTAAGTTAGAATTTTCCCAACTTAAACGAACATCTGATGCCTTATAAGTTACCATTGTTTTGTTATCTTTATCAGGCAAGTGTCTCCATGATGGCTATATTAAAAATTAAATTAGAACAAATATATAACTATATGGCTTTTATATTTACTTCTATATGATAAGTTTCACCAGGAACATCAATAATGGCTGTCATTACTCCTTCATCTAAATGTACACTAGCATGTGATGTTTTTTCTCCAAATACTCGACCATCATAAAAGTTTTCATGATCTTAATTACACAAAAATTACAAAAAAATTAAATATGTTTATCAAAAATGTTTAAGCTATAAAAATGTAACTAACTATTGATCAAAATCATTTTTGTTATAGTTAGGTATAAAACATACCAACGGCTATAGGAGTTTCATTTCCTTCAGCATCTATACTTGTAGCTTCAAACTGATGATGTAAAAGTCCTTTTTTAGGTGTTAAAATTAATCGAAAGTCTCTAAAAAAAATTTCAAATTTAGTTCCTAATAAATTTAAGTTATACATTAATTATTACTTTCCTAATGTAGTAAATGATACTTCATTTACTTTGTTCAATGGATGTGGACTATCAAAGACTCCACGTTTCACTATCTTATGAGAAAAATCTGAAGCATGTAACGTTTCAAAACGTACAAGGTTTTTATAAATGGAACCTAAGAATAATTTTGATTATTAAAATGAGTAATATTTAATGTGTACAAAAATTATATCATACTTTTAACTTTTCTTGCTATAAATAACAGAAGAAAAATTGTAATGAGCTTTTTCATGGTAAAAGAATTAACACTTAAGTATTGTTACTTAGATACTTTTACATTATTATAACAGTAAGTAAAGAGTAATAACAGAGTAAATATTCTGGTATAATATAATTGTTTTTTTTTTATAATTGTTACATAATAACTATGTAAAATACAATTGTATGTATTTTTAAATAAATTAAATAATCAATTTACTTAAAGCGTAATATAAAATATTTTTTAATAATGAATCGCCAAAACTAGTGGGCATTGTAGTACAACTACATATATAAATATTAAATACAATCAGGAATTGAAATCTGGTGGAAAACTAAATTTTTTCAATATGGTGGCACAACATTGTTATCGCAGAATGAAATCACAAAATCACGGTTGTAGATAGTATAAATCAGCTGTTGAGTGATAACGATTGACAACTGTTTACAAATATTGTTAGTTAAAGTTTTTTAAATACTCTCGACTTGCATGCCGATTTGTAGATAAGTATGGCGTTTTTAATAAAAAATAAAACATTTATTCATTCTACCAGGTACTTTAAATTTGATGTACCGACGAAGTGTAATAAATCATTTTTGTCTACTGTTATTCCTGAACACTATGGTAAAAATTTAATGCTCTATTGATGGAATTCATTTATTAAATAATATAATTTAAAAAATATTAATTAACTAAATAATTGTGTAGTTTTTTAAGTGTATCAACACAATTCTTAATATTTATTAAAAATCAAGTTTAATCTTGTTTGGAATATATATTAATAGTATGTATGTTGTAATGATGTATCCAATAAAAATCTTTTATTTAACATATAATATGAAATTAAATATTATTTTTTTTTATTCTGTCTTTAATATACTTAAATATTATATTTACTTTCATATTTATTGTTTCAGATCAAACTATCAATTCTAATATTAAAACATTTAAACACCAACATACTACTTTAATATCATTAAATAGACCTGATGAAAAAAATCGTTTAAATATAAAAACTGTAAGTGATTTAAGAAAAGCTATTTCAGAATTCGAGAATGATTGTTCATCTAAGGTAGCTATCATATATGGAGAAGGAGGCTCATTCTGTGGTGGAATGGAATCTGAGTTGGTTAAAGCACCAGAAATATGGAATGTATTAATAAACATTTTTTATCAAAAACTGTATTGTATTTAATAAACTTTTAATTTATTTAATTATTTAATTTATTAGAATTTTCTACAATCCTATTGTCAAAAACCTATAATAGCTGCTGTTTCTGGATTTTCCTATGATGTTGGCTTTGATTTATGTTTATGGTGTGATATACGAATTGTAGAAGAAAATGCTGTCATAGCTGTCAATAGAAAATCAGACGCTCCTAAGTCTAAAACATTTCTCAAAAGACTTATATCCACTGTTGGGTATTCAAGAGCAATGGATTTAGTATTAACCGGTAGAGATTTGTATTCTAAAGAAGCATTTGAATGTGGTCTTGCAAATCGAATAGTTGCTTGTGGATCTAGTATGAATATTTAAAATTGTGTACCTAAATTATTAATTTTAATAATGTTTAATATGAACATAACTTACAACAGGTGTTGGTCAAGCAGTGAACATGGCATTTAACATTGGTAAATTTCCTCAACTAGCTATGTCCTATGACAGAAGTATAATACATAAAACATCAATAAAATAATTGTTGTGTATAGAAATAACACTAAAGAAGTGCTTTAATATGTTAATATATTTGATCATTTGAGTTTTTAAAAATATTATTTTTTATTACTTACATTCTATATTAAGTTATATTATGTATCGTTTAATTATCAACATTATTAATCATGAAAACATCAAAAAATAATTTAGATTATTTACTTATATGATATTGATTTGGTGGATTAAAATAAATGGTTTAGTCAGTATTCGAGGGAGTGGCGATAGAGTTGATCGACTTCGTCTCCATAAATTTATGTTTGTGTAAGTATTTGCTACATATTTAAATAAAATTACAAAGAAATTTCAAAATATACAAAAATATGAACACTAAAATTTCATTTTTGAACTTGTTTGATTGTGATTCAAATTGTTATCTCAACCAGCAACTTTTTGATGCACCCAGAACAAAACATGCAAATGCGTAAATAACTCCCTGACCGTAATCATTACCAATTTCATATTTTATTTTTGTTTATATTATTTCATAGAAGAACATCGATAGTATGACTATCCCAGATGAAGATCAAAATAACGACGATTTACAACAAAGTAGCATTCAATTATTCGTAATATATTTTTTATTTTATTTTTCATTTTATATTCACAAATTTTGAACTATTGATTCAATTTTTCTGTTATTATTTAAAATAAAAATCGATGATGCAGAAATGGGTTGTAGTATATTATCTCCTTTCGACATTGTACTTGATTCGAAGTATAAATTGCTAGTGGAAAATACAAATTGGACTAACACACACTGTACACAAGTGGAGTAACTTTGAGTAAGTAAATAATGTGTATACTTGAAATCGAATATTAAACATTTTTTTCAAAGACAAGTTTTCTTACCTATATATCATAATTTATCAATTTTTTTTTAAATACTTTTTGTACCTGTATATATGATAAGTAATCAAAATAATACTCCGATTTTCAACTTCAGAATCTTATTTGATGGTAAAGTGATAGTTAGTGCTTTTGGGAAGTAAAAATTTAAAATTCCCAGTTTTCAAAAGCATTCAGGAAAAAATGAAAAAAAATTAAGATAAAACTGGAATTTGTACGCAAAATCGATTTTAGTTTTTGGTGAAACTCTAAAACAACCGATCAATGATCAGTGGCGTACCGATAAAGTGGCACGACGGGCAATGGGCCACGGGCCACTACTCTAGAGGGCCCATCAAGAATAATTATAGCAAATTCAAAAACAAATCACCATTATAGTTATATACAGGGCTCGGGAATTAAAGCATTTGCTTATTTTTATGGATCGACTTAAAATGTAGCAGAGTGATATAGAAGTGCATATCAAGTTATAAGTACAATTATGAAATTTAAAAGTGCCTTTTTTTTGCTTTTTTTAGCATTTTTAAAAAAAAATGCTTATTTCCAGTTTTTTTTATATTTTGAGTTTTCTCCAGCAAAGTCGTTTTTGATAGAATTAAAAATAATTCTTCTTATCTACGTTGTCACGTAGTTTGTCGCTGCCTGAAGTATTGTTGTAGGGTTTACAAAGATATTCCAACGCTGAAAATAGAACTGAGTGTCAAACGTCAGAATGATCAAAAACAGAAAGAACAGTTTACATTTTATTTTTCAGAAAAATCACTTAGAAAATCCATGAAATCCTTAAAGTCTTGAAAGTGAAGATTTATTTTTATTTTAATTGATTTTTTAGTTAGAATTTTATAGTTTTTTTTTTTTTTAATAAATATTTTTGCTTGATTTTAAAGTTTTTAATTTCTTATTTTAGTGCTTATAATTATGTTTTTAAGCGCTTATTTTAATGATTATAAGTGCTAAAGTCCTGAGCACTGGTTATATATATAGTTGGTCGTTATGATGCAGTTTTTGCGCTTCAAATTAGATTTGTTGTAACTCAAAAAGCTTCAACAAAATGTATACTTTGCAGCTCGAAGTTAAATGAACGAAATGAAGCTGAAAGAATTAAAAAACAAATTGAAAATTATAATTTTATTTGCACTTTAGTTTTCAATGTAAAGTTTTTAAAATTATAAAAATAATATTACACTAAACATGTTTTTAATCGTTTGTAACTTTAAAGGGCAGAATTTTGTAGGTGGTTATATTTTGTAGGCAATTCATCATAACTCCTTTTTTCAAATTTGTAAAACTAAGGGCCTGTTGGATTATTTAGCTACGGGCATTAAAAGTTCTGGTTACGCCACTGTCAATGATACATAAAATTATCACTGAATATTTATATTAGCATTTTCTATATACACTATATAATGTTTTGAACTATTTACTGACCTTTTCAGTTCTCGATTTTTTTATTTTATTTTTCTATAAACGTCTATAATATTTTATTTATTACATAAAAAAAAAAAATGCCATAGAATATTCCTGATATATTGTTAAAATAGCATTTAAATAATATAAAAGTATAGGCACGATTTTTTTTTTTTTTATAAGCATTAAAAGTTCATATTTTGACAACATTAAAATAGAAAATTTACAAATCATTTAGTGATTAAAAATGTATAAGACGTTCAACTTCTAAGTTATATTTTTATTTTTTTATTTTTGCAAGTTACAATTATCAAGGTCGATGATTTGTGGACATTAAACACTTAATTAATTTTTAAAAGAATACTAAGCACAGTCCTTTTAGTTGTACATTTCAAAATTTATATCTTATAAATGAAAGAAAAAAATGAATTTTTTTAAAATTTATTTTCAAGTGCGATTTATGCAATAAAACCAATATTTTTTCTAACGAGTCTAAAACAACTGATATTTCATTATTTATTAACACCGCTATTGTAATGGCAACTATAAACACAGGCATAGGCGCAATTTGGGGAGGGGGCTTGGGTGTAATTAGCACCCCCAAATGTATTCATTTTACATTTAAGTACTCATTATTTTGGGTCTGGAATTATAAGCACTATAAACGTACGAAATATGTATGCATTTATGCGATGGTTATCATTCAAATATGCACTCAAAATATGCGAAAATATGCATTTTTATTATTTATTAAATTTATTTAATTTTAAAATACATACAATTCATTAAATAATCAATATTCAACAAAAAATATACTTTAAAATATGATATTATATATCAACTGTATTTTATATATTTTATTGAACTGTATGGAACTGTATGTTATACTGAAATGAAATTGTATTTTGAACACTCGCTCATCTAAACAAAAAGTCACAAACGAAAATCAATTTAAACAAATCAAGTGGATTTTTATAATATTTTTAAAGTTACCTGGAGAGTTACTATCGTATTGGTACTTTTAACAAACTTTATCTTATCTTATTATAACACAAAAATCAAATTCTATAACTGCACGATTTACGGGATTTACGATGGTCATGCACTAATAAATAATAATATTAATAACTTCGCAATATTTTTTTCTATATATGTATTATACTTCGAAAAATGTTAAAATATGCAAAATAATTTGAAATGTTCCAAATATGCAAAAATATACCAAATTTAATTTCGCATACCAACACAGATTAAGATTCAAATTCCTGTCTTACTTCAGCTACTTTTTAGTTTAATATATAAAAATATGCAAATACATACAATTCCGGGCCCTACTCATTATGTATAGAAAATCAGAGTTTTTATTGTACAAATATATAAATTTATTATTTAAATATTGGTGGTGGAAGTTTGTCCTACGTCTCTTCGGTTCTGAACCGTACACGTGTACGGGTAATAACCATTAAGTAATATGAAAAAGAAAGGCTTTAGCACCTTCAGTTTTTTCATTGAAATTGCGCACAGGACAAAGATTTACTCAATAAGATACAATGGCAGCTTTTTTAAATATGCCTAGTATGTCATACATGTCATGGTTAAATGGTTAAAATATAGGAAATCACGTCTTAAATATCTTAAATTATCAGCTTCAAATTTTGGAAAAGTGTGAAAACTTAGAGCAAGCACTTCTTGGGCAAACACCTTCAAGAATGTACTCTATGATATTTTTCAAGGAAACTGCCACTCGATAAGTGTAATGGTAATCAAGTGTACTGTATAGTGTATATAAGTAATCTGAATAGTTAAATGTTATTTTATTCACATTATATAGGTATGGAATTGAAAATGAACCGATGGCCAAAGAGATTTTGAAAAAAAATAATATTAAAATTGAATCAGCAGGATTATTTATACTTACGACTCTTAATTATTTAGCTGCGAGTCCCGATGGACTAATTGGCAAAGCGCAATTATAGAAATTAAGTGCTTTCAAAGTATAAAAGAGTATACGCCGGAAGGAACTGTAAATAACATAAAATTAAAATGTATGATATATAATGATAGAAAATTAATATTAAAAAAAAAAAAAATAATTGTTATTATTTCCAAGTATAAGGAAAAATTAATTTTACAAAACGAAAATTATGTTATTGTGTAGTGTGGACACCCAAAGGTAACCGTATTTTATATCTGGTCACCCTAAACATTTTTTGACTTGGTGTGGACCCGGATTTATAAGTAGTGAGTTACAAAACTCAAACCATTCTATTTATAAAACCCAATAGCTCTGGTTTTTACGTAAGATTGAAGAATATTAAACGATAGCGGCACAATGTCATGTAATCATACTAATTGCAGATAAAATGGAAATAAAGACGTTATAGAAATTTAATCTGTGGTTTAAATGTAATAACGAGTATTGGAAAAATTTGAAGTTTAATGAATCCGTTGGATTGTTGCAATCGATACTATCTAATTCTATTTAATTTACGGTTTTTTTTTATTTGTATTGCTACTTACTGTTCATTATCTGTTATAATTTTTTATTGATGATTGATTAAGTATACATTACCGTAGTCCTTTTAATTTTACAGTTTCATAGATTTTTAGTTTGACACGTTTGCTAATTATGGATTCATATGACGTTGTTGGTGTTCTTGGACGCGGAGCTTTTGGGCAAGTGTGTTTGTACCTATATATTATATTTCTTTTCTTTTAATGTACATATTTTTATAATGCTTGTAGTGTTGTTGAATTGGTTAGAGATTTTAATTTGAAAAAATTAGTTGTGATGAAAACTATATATATTAAATCCATGTCAACAGATAACGTAAAGGTAAGCAACTAAGACATTTGTGATTTATATTTTTGTTAGTTTCATCAATATTTTTATAACACTTATAGGAAGCCGTCAAAGAAACTCAGATTCTTCAAATGTTAAATCATCCAAACATAATCAAATATTATAATAGTTTCCAAAAAGGTCAGAATTTTTACATAATTATGGAGTATGCCACTCATGGAACTCTTGAACAATTTGTCAACAAATGGGCTCAAACTTCAAGCCATATTGTTCAAACTGTATAAATAAATTTTCTTGCTCTTATTAAAAGTTAATATTTTAAAATTGTAACATTTGTTTTAGTGCGTCTTAAATATCATTAGTCAAGTTACAATGGCTGTAGATTATATCCATAAAATTAAAATTATACACCGTGATATCAATCCAATGAATATTTTACTAACAGGAAGTCAAGGTACAGTTGTAAAACTTGGGGACTTTGGTGCTTCTCGCATTTTAACCAGGTATACTAAACGTTTATAGTTGACAATTATAAATTCATGCATATTTATAATTTTAATTATAAAATTGTGCATTAGTGACAAAATAGCTTATGAAAATTATTGCACACCGAGTTATATGCCTCCAGAGCAATGTAGCGGGAAATCTTTAAGATTGAAAAGTGATATATGGCAAATTGGTTGCGTCTTATATTATTTAATAACTATGAAACATCCTTTCTGTGGACAGGTAAATACTGAAACAATATCATATAATTTATTTAGCTATTTGATATTAATTTAAACTATATATACTAAATATATTTAGAGTTTAGCAGTTACAATATCGTGTATTATGGAAGGAGTTTTGAGTCCTTCTGAAAAAATGAAATATTATGACCATGATGTAATAAGGCTTATGCATGAATTATTGAGCTGTGATCCGACAAGTCGACCTAATGCATCAGCTTTACTTTCACATCCATATATACTGCCTTATGTATTGAACAGCAATTGTCACTGGTTCAAAGCTGGTAGGAAAATGTTAAATTAAAACTAGTATATTGACACAAATATTTTTTGTTATTTAAGTTTGAATTATAATATTAATATTTCATTTAAATGTATTAAACATTTTTTTTTTTTTATGACACTAAAGTTAACAACTAAGGAGTGAAATTTTTGATTTATAAAATGTTAAATTTATGTAATTTTGAATGTAATGCTATGTGTATTTTGATGTAATTTTTTGTTTATCATATAGTTAAAATTAAATTGATATTATGTTAATTGTTAAATAAAAATAAACTTTTTTGTAATAATTTATACACTTGTTAATTTGTATTATGTACTGTTCATTAGTAATTAATATAATATTACTTTATGTTGATAGTTTTTCATTATGAGAAATTTATAAGCATTTGGTATCATTGGTATCATAATTATAAATTTAATGCAGATTAATAATTGATCCATAATTTTAATTATAAAAATATTTTAGTTGTTTCATAATAAAAAGACAAGTATTTATAATTAGGAAGGAAAATTATTCATTTTTAAATATAATTCAGGAAATACAGTCGACTCGATAATTCAAAGTAAATGCTTGGTCCCTTGAAAATCATGCTGTAATTTGAATAAAAACAATGCATTTAAATACAATCTGTAATTCAAAGTATATTCAGCAAATTTATTTAATCTGTATTTTTATAATCTTTTTGTTGATAATTTACTATATAATTGAGTGGAAATTTAGTATATTATTTTCGATAAATATAGAATTAATATTGTGAGAACTTTATTGTTTTATTTTTTAATTGTCACTACAGTACAATAGAACCATTCTCGCTCGTCCTCGGCTAATACGCCACTCTGGTTGATCCAACCATAGTATTATCGATATGAATATGGATTTTCCAATTTATAGTATGTGGTTAGATATATTTGATATATTAATTTCCGTTTACTATTTATCTATTTTTTATTTATTTATTTGATTTAATATATGTATGTAATTAAAAATAAAATTTAAGATAATTTAATAAATAAATTTGGTAACATTTTGTCTTCAAATTTTTCTTTATATTCAGATAATCTGACCTTTTTTGTGTTCCGACCACACCCCTAGTCTCGAAGGTAATGAATTAGAGGGGTTCTACATAGTAATTTATCTCTTCGATAGCTGTCAACCGAATGTAGTTTTATTTTAGTTTCGTTTGGTCAATTGTAAAGTTCTTGTGATAAGTCAAATTCAAAAAATACTATTGAAAAAATGAAACAGAAAATCATTACAGGTTTCTTCAAAAAATAATTTTTTATAATAATAATTTAATTTACATGGTAAAATTATTATATAGTTAAAATTTACATTTTGTAAACAATTAATAACTAATACCACCTAATTTGCTAAAATAATTATGTACAATAAAAAACAAAATTTTTCTCTTAACTCAGTAATTTAAATTTTTTTTTTGCTCTCTCATTTTTTTGAATTACTCAATAATTTAAACTCTCGGTAATTTAAAATTTTTCAAAAGTCCCGTCAACTTCGAATTATCAAGAGTCGACTGTATAATAAAATTAAGTATAAATTAAGCAGGCCTAACTATTTAAGAAGATATATGTTTCTGCTTTGAATCTTGCTGTATATTTTTATTTACTGATACTGTATTTCTCAACTAGTTTTAGTAGTTGATATAAATTAATTGGCTTAAAAAACTATATTAACTTAGATTTTTTAATTTTTTTTTTTTTTTTTTTTATAAGAAGATTAAAGAATATTTCTTAATAATTTAATATTAATTTTATTTGAGTACAATATACTATTTACAATATCAATTAATCTTATCAAACTGACAAGATATAGTAAATAAAATAAGAAGAAAATAATTGAAATTAATTTTGGAATTAGTTAATAAAGATATATGTTACGATGAAGTATTGCTCCGAAGTAAAATTAAATAATTTGTCCTGGTATGTTGAGTTTGAAGCATGATTTTGGTAGTGGTATCCAGGCAATTTAAGTTGAATGGTGAAATGTAGATTATTAAATGAAGAACACTGTAATCACTAAATAATATTAAGACAATAATTATGAATTTAAACTAATGTTTGTTTAAAATAAAACACTTGTGTTGTAAAAACACTTCTCAGCGTATATACTTTAAATATAAAATGTAGATTTAGGCTTGGTTGGAAACAAATAAGAGACTATCAAGCATTAGAGTTTTTAATAATGATATTATATATATAACAATGGTTAGAATAGTTGTTTAAAATCAATATTACTATATAAATTATTAAATTTATATATAAATAAATAAACAAATAATTTATACGTAGAAAAAGGTGCTCAACTCCAAATAGTTGAGAGAATGGCGAAGGAAAAGAAATAAATAAAAAAATGTTTAACTTTGAGTATAATCATATTTGTTAAATATGACTGGTTTCGAATAAAAAAATAAAAATCATGAATATATAGAGTCAAAAAATTACGAGTATTGAGTAACGATTTTTTTATTAACTTTGTACATATCTGACAGTGAATTTTTAACTCAATAATAGTTGTACTTTACAAATGTAATAATACTCCAAGCTAAACATAAATTTGTTTATTTATTTCTATACATAGACTATTTGTTTATTTATTTATATACTAATTTACGAATATTAACCATTTAATAATTTAATTTTTTTATTTAATTCAATTATCTCAAAAATAAATAAATAATTATTAAGAATATTACTAGATACAACCCATTTTGCAGATAAGCAATGATATTAAATGTGCTTTAATGATAGTTGGTTTGAGACTTATTCTGGAGTCTCTAAATATTAACAGTACATAAATATTTTAATATTTAACCTGTTTAATGTAATATACGAGGTGCGGTCAGAAAAAAACCGGACTAGTACTGGTGAAACAATAAAACGAATGCAATAAGGCTGAAAGTCGCATGGCCTGTCACGTGACACTCGCTCCGCCTACTGTTCGAGTTTCATCTGCCCCCTGCACTCAGTCTGCCCGTGGCCTCTGTTTTAAGTAGTTGACGTTTTGTCTGTGCGTCGAAAAATGTTGAGTGTACAGAAAGAACAGCGTGTTAACATCAAATTTTGTTTCAAACTAGGAAAATCTGCAAGTGAAACGTTTGTAATGTTACAACAAGTGTACGGCGATGATTGTTTATCGCGAACACAAGTGTTTGAGTGGTTTAAACGATTTAAAGATGGCCGCGAAGACACCAGTGATGACATTCGCACTGGCAGACCATTGTCAGCAAAAACTGATGCAAACATTGAAAAAATCGGTAAACTTGTTCGACAAGATCGCCGTTTAACAATCAGAGCAGTGTCTGAGTTAACAGGAGTTGACAAGGAAAGTGTTAGGCAGATTCTTCATGAAAGTTTCAACATAAACAAAGTGTGTTCAAAAATGGTTCCAAAATGGCAATGATGATAGTTTTTTTTTTTGACATTAAAGAGATTGTGCACATTGATTGGGTACCAGAGGGACAAACAGTGAATCAGCATTACTACATTAGCGTCCTGGCTACCCTACGTGAGCGAGTACGGAGAAAACGGAACGATTTGTGGAGAAAAAAGTCATGGATCCTTCACCAAAACAATGCCCCAACTCACAGTGCGTTGTCAGTGAAGACGTTTTTGGCAAAACACAATATTCCCATCTTAGATCATCCACCCTACTCAACTGATTTGGCCCCCTGTGACTTTTTTTCTTTTCCCTAAAGTCAAGTCAGCTTTGAAAGGAACTAGATTTGAGACTGTTGAAGCAGTAAAAGAAAAAGCGATGGAAGTAATGTATGGACTTACCGAAAATGATCTGCAGCATTGCTATGAACAGTGGAAAATTCATATGGAGCGGTGTAGAGACCGAGGAGGAGAGTACATTGAAGGAGATAACATGAAATTGTAAATAATTGTAAATAAATGTTTTTTTCCAGCATCAGTCCGGTTTTTTTCTAGCTGCACCTCGTATGCTCATAAACTGGTTTTCTTTGTAGTAAAACTTTTTTTTTTTTTTATTAAATTTTCCTATAATTTAATTTTAAAGTTAGACATTTTTAAATTAGATGAATTATTACCAAACTTTAGGTATATTCTAAATTAATAAAAGATCAATAGTATATGTATCTGTTCTTATCATTTAATAAACTGATTTTATTTTAAACATATTATTTTCAAATTATAATAACTGAACAATATAGCATTCAGTATAATAAATGGTTAATCAGGAAAGGACCATTACTGTTCCATGGGTATTGGTGCTTCATTCGTATTTACTTCTTCTTCATCATCATCAAATTCTTCAATATTTTCTTCTAATATAACAGTTTATTTTTATATATAAATTAATAATTTTTACATAGTGAACAGTTAACTTACCTGCATTTTGTGCACCAGACTTTTTCTTATAGACTTTGTTAGGGATTTGTCCAGCTTGTAGCAACTTAGTTAAATGTTCAACTTCTTCAAATGATGATGCTTCAGAAATTGCCTTTCTAATTCTCCATATATCTTCTTGACTATGACCTAAATTCATAATAAAAAATAAAAATCAATTTTAATATTTAACGGGACTTATAATAAATACATTTACTAATAATTCTATTACAATATCAACAAAAATATAAAGAAGACACTTAGACTTTGTTTACTTTAAATATTTTTTGTTTAGATAATGTTCTTAATTTTGAACATTATATCTATAAAATAGATAAATTTATTGCATTTATAACAGTTAGTATAAAAAAAACTACAAACTACTAATATTTTAATAACATTTCTTTAAAGACAATATATAACTTTAAATGAAGAAATTTAGTATTTCTCTACATTTTTGGTACCTATGTTAAATAAAACTCAACAAATACAAATATTTATATTTAAAATAAAATAAAATTGTTGTTAATACCATTTGCTTTTCTGCTTTCCAATCCTTCTCCGGGAACAAATAAATTAGATTTTTTTACTAATTTTTTTTTCAGTTCTTTTCCTTCTTTTCCTTTAAATAATGCTTTAGCTGCTTCATACTCCTGTAAAATAATACTTAAAGTATGATCTATTGTATTTATTTTTTGAATTGTCAAGCGACAACAAACCTTCAATTTAACTTTTCTAAAATCTAAAATTCGAACTTGAGGAATTTTATGTGCTACATATAGTCTATAATGATCTTTTGATGTAACTGGGTTATGCAAAAGACTTAACATTTTCAACTTAGGAAGTGAAGCAAGAGGATCCAAGTCTCCAAGTTCTTGTATCTGATTACCAGTTAAGATTAAAGATTCAAGATTAGGCAAACATTGATCTAAATTATCAGCTATACGACTGTAAATTAAAAATAAATTTTAACACATTTTTAAGCAAATAAAAAAAAAAAATTATCAGTAATTTGTAATTTTAAAAAAAAATAACATATTATACTATGGTCTTTTATTCATGATGCTAAAATTCTTATAAAATACACTGCATATATATATATATATATATATATATCAATAAAGTAAGAAAATAATATTTATCAATTATTTATAATTTTTAATTTATGACTGAATATTATATTTTAAATTAAATATATATATATATATATATATATATATACAATTTTGTAAATACTTACACAATGGAATTATTATTAAATACAAGATTTTTCAATCGTTTGAGATATGCAAAGCCATCGACTTTCCTGATATCATTGTCAGAAAAGTCAATAGTATCAAACTGATCTAGAGTTGCTCCCATGTTTTCAATAAGAGGTATTTTATAACCTGTAACATTTTGTATTAGTTGAATAAAATTACACATATATAAATAATGTAGATATTAATAGGTTATAAAAACTTAACAATAAATACTAATTTCCCTTTTCTAGTTTAAACAAAAACGGTCAAGTGGAAAAAATACACCGATTAATGGAAAGTCATATTTTCAAAGAATAGTCTGCGATAAGAATTAAGTAAGTTAATAAAACGAGGAAATTTAAAAATAAAACAAGTGTATAAAAACTATAGATTTTTATTCTAGTACAGTGGTTCCCAACCGGTGTGCCGCGAGCGCCCTTTAAATGTGCTGTGATAAATCTATAAATTGTTTTATAAATATGTATTTGTTATTTATTGATATTCTATAGGAAAATAAATCAAACTAATCGTAGATACATATAATATTATTTATTGTAAGTATGCCCGTCTCGATCGATGATTGTATTAATATATTTCACAATAAATAACCCTCTAATAGAGTAGGCTGTAAACAGTATACATACATATATATATATATATATATATATATAAAAAATATGGTTCACATAATTTATAGATTGGTGTGCCGAGAAAATTTTATTGGAGATGAAGTGTGCCGCATTGTTAAAAAGGTTGAAAACCACTGCTCTAGTACATAAACTATTCATTTTTACAGACAAATAACTACTTGTTGAAAATACAACAAGATACGTTTGTGTAACAAACCAAGTACTGACCACATTATTGTATTATAATGCTTACCTCTTAAATCCAGTTCTCTATCCTTCACAGGATTTATGAACTGATACGAGTTCATGATTAATTCTGTAGTAAGTTTAACCATGATTAATTATTTATTGGCATAAATCTTATATAGATAAATTTAAATTCAAACGAGATGAATGTTTTTAAAATAATAAATATTACAATTAAACCAACATGACGACATGACGCTAGTCGGGAAAAACGTAAACACAACAGTGAATTCAGTTAGATAAGGATATGAATGAAGTCCGGTAACCGGTAACTAGTCACTCGCATCTGAGAAGCTATAAAATTGTAATCAGTTTTCATACAACACAATGTTAATTATACTTGCCGCATTTGCTTGCCGTGTTTATTCTTTCTTACAAGTTATAATTTTACCTCAAATCAATTGTCGTTTTATATAAATGTCCAAAACGCGTTTAATGGAATAATAGTTTAAATTTATACTTTTATGTATTACTGGATAGCATCCGACTGTTGAAACTTTTTGTCTTGTTGGTTGGATTGCTATAACGAGTAGATATTAAACCATGGCTAACGTGTCGTATCAAATAGCTCATTTACTTGAAAAAGTATGTAAATTTACTTTAGAGTTATATTCTATCATTTTACTCTGAACAACAATGAACGATTTACATATTGTTTTAGATGACTTCAAGCGACAAAGACTTCCGGTTTATGGCGACCAACGATCTGATGTCAGAGTTGCAAAAAGACAGCATTAAACTTGATGATGATTCTGAACGTAAAGTGGTGAAAATGTTGCTTAGGTTGTTAGAAGATAAAAATGGTGAAGTTCAAAATCTTGCTGTCAAGTGGTAAGACTATCATTTTATTATTTTGTTTTATTTATGGAGTGCTCATTTTAAGTTTTATTTAATTATAGCTTGGGACCACTAGTTAATAAAGTAAAAGAAAACCAAGTGGAAACAATTGTTGATGCTCTTTGTACTAATATGATATCTGAGAATGAACAATTAAGAGATATTTGTAGTATAGGATTAAAGACTGTTATAAGCGAGCTGCCTATTACTAATACTCCATTAGCTGCAAATGTTTGCAGGAGAATTACTGGGAAATTAACTAGTGCTATTGAAAAGGTAATTTTATTAGAATTCAGTATTTAATTATGGGATAATATATATGTTACCTGAAAATTGTTACATTCGGCATTTTATAAAATACCTTGACATTCTATAAAATGCCAAAAATGAAAAGAGATAGTACAAAATGTATATAGTGACTAGGCATTCTATAGAATACTGATCCTCAAACAGTCAATGTTTACAGTTGACATACAACTATATTTTAGTGTACCTTTGTAAGTATGTTTATATTTTACATACATTTTTATGTTTGATAATCATTTATATGGTATGACAGATAAGTTGTTTATCATCTCAATTTTTTTAAAATAGGTAAAATAATGTAATATAATGACTGATTAAGTGAAAAATATGTAATTGATTCAATCAAATCCAAATTTAAATTTAGTGTTTATTGATTACTTATCATACAAAGATATAGGAATGTTTTATACCTAATTAAATAAAAAACCAAGAAAATTAAAAAATTACCTTATGTTTATCAAATTAAAAATGTGATGGTATATTATCTGAAGTTTTTCCACATTTAAATGGTCAGAAGAAAAAAGAAAATTTCCGACTATTGGATGATTTTTTTTTTTTTAATGTACATTCAAATTAAAATGTGAAACCAAAAAATATTTATTTAAAATAAATAATATATGTAATTAAAAGTGTCACACATTAACTGTATACTGTATGTATAAACAAATTAAAAATAAATTATTAAAATAATGAACATTTTTTGATTTAATTATATTCTAATATTCATACTTTACCTAACGTAGCATTGAAATTCTATTGAAATTTTAGGAATTCTATAGATATATTGAAATTTGATAAATTGCTAAACAGTACAAGGGATTCTGTAGAATACCTAGAATTTCTGTACAATGCCTATATTTAACATATTGTCGGTAGCATATATATATGAACTAATTATATTTTTAGCAAGACGTATCTGTACAATTGGAAGCTCTAGATATACTTGCTGATTTATTATCAAGATTTGGATCATTATTACTTGAATTTCATCAAGCTATTCTTAAATCATTATTACCTCAACTTACATCTTCTCGCCAAGCAGTTAGAAAAAGGTAATTCATTTATAAAATTTAAAGTGAATAAGTATTTCAAAAAATTAATCAATGCGAGTTCATTACAAGTATTAAAGTATTAACATTGACTATTTAACATACAAAATTTAATATTAAGTTTTAATTTTGTTTAAAAATATTTTCCAATATGTTAATGTTTTATTTTATCAAAAGTATAATTATTTAGACAAAATATCATTATTTACTTTTTGATTTTGTTCATCTTTGTCTAAAAATTATAAATAATTCTTATCCAATAATATTAGTTAATTAAACATATTCATTAACATTAAAGTTTACAAATGAAAATAATATATTACATTAATGATTATAATTATATTTTTATGATCTTAGTATGTTTTTCTTACTTCAATTAAGTTTTATAAATAAAATAAATGTTAAAAAGATTGTTATTATATGTGGTATAATATTTAAACTTCATAAATATACCGAACAATTAAATTAGCATGTGTTTCAATAATAGTAAAAAGTATTTTATGTGATAAATTGTATTAAATTGTTTATTAAAATTATCAAAATAGTTTTATCTTTTTACATTAATGCTTATGGAAAAAAAAACCTTCATGAGTAAAATATTATTTACAAATTCATTACATTACATTTTCTCTATAATCTTTTTTCCAAAATTTGAAATATGTTGGCTTTTTATAATTTGAGCAAATCTGATTTTATTATTTCTTTACGTGTATCAACTTACGTAGAGGATTGATATTAGCTTTCAATTTATTTAGAAATAAGTATATAATAGTAATTAATTAATAAAAGATCTATTTAGTTATATATTTTACTAGGCAATCAATATATATTTTTAATACATTTTTTTTGTTTTAACTAAATTTTATCTTGTATACTTATATTATTTATACTATTATATTTTTACATTTGTTCATTTTAGAACTATTGTTGCACTTGGTCATCTGGTGTTGTCATGTAATCAACAATTATATACTAAACTTATTGATTATCTGGTTAATGATTTATCAACTAAACCACCAGCTGCAAGATCTAAAACATCTATTCAGTGTATAGCAGCTATATGGTAAATTTTTGAATACAGTAAAACCCTGTTAAGACGTGCCTGCTTAATACGCAATCCCTCATAATCGACTTTCTTTTCTAGGCACTTACCCATTATACATAGAAAAAAAACTATTTATATGTTAATAAAAATTTACACTTTGTATACTACACAATCAATATCTTCATTGAGACAGGTACTTACAACTGATAACTTAAAAATGATGCATTTATTCTTAGGTAGTATGGAAACATTCTTATTAATTAATTATAGAATAAACTCACTGAAACACCAACCTACTACCACTTTTTTTTTTAAAAAAATAATACATACATAGTATAATATAAAACCATTACCACTTTATTCCAAAACATAATACATAGTATGTATAATATAACCCAACATATGTATATGTAATGTATAATATTTTATAACAACCTTGTAAGTTATAAATGTATATGTATCATTCTATAATTACGTATTCATTTTCATGTTCTTTTTATTTAATAAATAAAATGTAATACCATGAACTTTTTTTTAATATATTCTGTCTAGCATCCCATTAAAAACGCTTTTAAAGTGTATTAGGTGGGATCCCGTTTACATGTTTAAAGAGCATATTATGTTGGATACCGCCTATTACACCATACTGCATAATATGAGGTTTTACAACATCCCCTTCGAGAGCGTCTTAACAAGATTTTACTATAGTCACTTTAAATGTTATTAATATTTTTAATTTTGTTATTTATTTGCTAATCTTATAGCCGCCAAGCTGGTCATCGTTTTGGTGTTCATGTTGATCGTGTTGTTCCATTAATTCAAGGACCATTAGTTGAAAATTCTGCTGATGATGATGAGCTACGTGAATACTGTTTGCAAGCTTTTGATGCCTTTGTTAATCGCTGTCCTAGTGAAACAGCAACATATACCAATGACATAATTAAATTATGTTTGGAGTATTTAGCATATGATCCTAATTATAATTATGATGATAATGGTGAAAATGGTGATGACAATTTTATGGATACTACTGATGGTGAAGATATGGAAGATGAAGATATTGAGGATGATTATTCAGATGATGATGATATGAGTTGGAAAGTTAGACGAGCAGCTGCCAAATGTTTGGAAGGTATAATAATTACTAGAAAAGATTTGATTGCAGACATGTATAGAAATGTTTCAAAATCATTGATTCAGCGATTTAAAGGTAAATTTAATTTTAAGAGTTTTATCTTTAACTTATTAGTTTTCTAAGTTGCACATAAAAATTTTAGAAAGAGAAGAAAATGTAAAAAGTGATATATTACATGTTTACATGGCACTTTTAAAACAAACAAAATTGACTAGTAATAATATGAATGCTGATATAGCAGATGAAGATTCAGCAATGTACCTTCTTCAATCTCAAGTTAGTTATAGTTAATAAGTAATAGTTAATTATACTTAGGGGTATAGTTTTACAATTTTTAAATCATTTATCATATTTTAGGTTCCTGCTATTGTAAAAGCTATATATACTCAAATGAAAGAACGCAGTGTTAAAACTCGTACTGACTGTTTAGCTTTATTAAAAGAACTTGTTATTGTTCTTCCTGGTGCTCTTACTAACCATATAGGAACCTTAATTCCTGGAATTCAATATTCTTTAAGGTATTTAACAATTTTTATTTTATAAAGTATTAGAATTCATCATGATTTTATGGTAATTTACAGTGATAAGAAGTCTAGTAGCAACATGAAAATTGATACATTGTCATTCATTCATTGTGTGTTAACATCACACCCTCCTGAAATCTTTCATCCTTGGGTAGAACAATTGATTCCACCTATTATAACTGCTGTTGGTGATCCATTTTACAAAATCACTGCTGAAGCACTCCTTGTTTTACAAGAAATGGTTAAAGTTATTCGTCCATTAGGTAAATAATAAAACAATATTTTATTTTTAACCATTTACATTCTTGTTTTATTAATTTTTTTTTATCATTAGATCAAAAACTAGAGTTCAACTTTTCTGTCTATGCTGTGCCATTGTATAATTGTACATATTCTCGTTTAAAGACATCAGATATTGATCAAGAAGTAAAAGAAAGATCGATTTCTTGTATGGGACAAATAATATGTAATTTAGGTGATGTACTTCAAAATGAGTTACAAGTGTGTTTACCCATTTTCTTGGATCGTCTACGGAATGAAATTACTAGATTAACTACAGTTAAAGCACTTATTAGAGTAGCTAGCTCACCATTGAAAATCAATTTATCTTCCATTTTGGTAAATCATAAAAATTTAAAAAAAAATTTGATTTATTAATTATTATTAAATATATTTTTAGAGTGATGGTGTGTTAATTTTGGCATCATTTCTTCGAAAAAATCAAAGAGCATTGAAATTAAGTACATTAGCTTTACTTAACATGTTGCTAAATAATTTCCATACTGATTTTTCAGCTGAATTATTGAATAAAGTAAACTATTATAATATGATATTTTTACAAAATATATTGTTTCTTACTCACATTTATTATACTTAAGAATTTAATTTATATTTTTTACAGATACTTATTGAATTGCCGCAGTTAATTAATGAATCTGATTTGCATATTGCTCAGTTAACACTTTCTTTACTTACTACCATTATTAAAATTCAACCATTAGCTATGTCTTTTTCGGCTAATATTATTATGCCTGAAGTTATGACATTAGCAAAATCTCCTTTACTTCAAGGTGCAGCCTTAAATGCTATTTTATTATTCTTTCAATCACTAGTTGCTACCAATGTTGCACAGTTTGGGTACCAAGAATTAGTGACACTTTTAATCTCACCATTAATGGCTCAACCAACTGGTACTCCTACTTTAACATTGCATAAACAAGTAATTTTCACTAAATAATTTACTTTTACTTAGTAAATTATAACACAAGACTGTTTTAGGCCTACCATTCTTTAGCTAAATGTGTTGCTGCACTAACTGCTACACAACCAACTCAAGCTATGGGTATCATAAATAGTTTCATGTCTGAATTAATTAATCCATCTAATGATCAACAACACATTTTTTCATTATTAGTAATTGGTGAAGTTGGAAGACACATGTAAGTTTTTCATTGCCACACATGGTATTTTTAAATATACTGCAACAGTAGTTAATTACACTGACACTATTATTATTGTTCTTTATTGTAAAATTGATTTCAGAGACTTAAGTTCTGTACCTAACTTAAAGGAAACTATATTGCAGTCATTCTCATCAAATTCTGAAGAAATAAAATCATCAGCAAGTTATAGTTTAGGTAGTATATCTATTGGAAACTTGGAGCAATATTTACCTTTCATATTAAGAGAGATTGACATGCAACCAAAACGACAATATTTACTTTTACATTCCTTAAAAGAGGTAATATTCTTTAAATAATAAGTATTATTAATTATTAATGATAGTAATTTAATTTTAGATTATATCATTTGAGTCATCTACACTTAATGGTATCGAAAATCTAAAACCCTTTGTACCAGCTATATGGCAACAATTGTTTAAACATTGTGAATGTACTGAAGAGGGTACACGTAATGTAGTTGCTGAATGTTTAGGCAAACTAACATTAATTGACCCATATACTTTATTGCCAAACTTGCAATCATCTCTATCTTCATCATCAGCACTAATGAGAACTACTTTACTGACAGCAGTTAAATTTACCATATCTGATCAACCACAGCCAATAGACATGTTGCTTAGACAGAATATGGATCAATTTTTAAGTGCTCTTACTGATCCAGATATAAATGTTAGACGGGTAACATTAATTGCATTTAATTCAGCAGCACACAATAAGCCATCTTTAGTTAGAGATTTACTCGATACCGTACTTCCAAAACTTTATGCAGAGACTATTGTCAAGGTAAAATTTAGTTGTAAAATTGTTAATTATAACTAAATTATTAATTTTTGTTTGTACACATTTTAGAAAGAACTAATACGAGAAGTAGAAATGGGACCGTTTAAGCATACTGTTGATGATGGATTAGATATAAGAAAGGCTGCATTTGAGTGCATGTATACATTATTAGATTCATGTTTAGATCGTTTGGACATATTTGAATATCTTAACTACTTGGAAAATGGACTTCGTGACCATTATGATATAAAAATGCTCACTTATTTAATGGTTTCAAGAATGGCTCAAATTGTACCAAGTGCTGTGTTGCAAAGTAATGCTTTTACCTTTGTGTATAAGTTACCAACAATTATAATGAAAAAAATATATATATATTTTTTAGGGCTGGATAAAATTGTTGAGCCTTTAAAACAAACATGTATGTTGAAAATCAAAGCAAACTCTGTAAAACAGGAGTTTGAAAAAATGGAAGAACTTAAGAGGTCTGCTATGAGAGCTGTTGTTAATTTACAAACTATACCGGATTCAGGTAATTGAGATTGTTTTGATATTTTATTTTTGGTTGGCTGTAATTTATTTTTTGTATACCAACACTTACGCAAAAAAAGGCTATTAAAATTAATATTCTTACTCCGATTTAAATTATTTGTTTTTCGAGATTTTTATGGGAAATAACTTGTATTTATGAATGACAAAACGTAAGATAAAACCTTTTTTTGGATATTAATTTACGTTTTATTAAGTAACTAAATTTATGTTCTTTTGTCATTATTATTTTGTTTTATATGTATAATTTTTTTTTTTTTAGACAAAAATCCACATATGAGTGATTTTGTATGTCAAATTAAAAATTCTACTGAATTGAACACAATATACGAATCAGTGCAAAGAGACAGTTCAGGAATGATATCTGATAATCATTCAACTCCTATGGAAGTGGGTGAATAAGCACAACATAAATATTTTCAATAAACATTTTCCTACACATTAACCAATTGATTTCTTCTAATATGTTCTTATGAAAAAAATATTGGGAATTTTGTAAATAATAATTTGTATGTGTATAGGCAAAATTTTATTTATACATTTTCTGTTTATCCTTTGTATTCATTCATAAATTATGTTAATCCTACAAATAATAAATTGATTTTTTTTCTATCAAGAATGAATTTAGCTAAAAGTGATTGTAAGTTGTGAATAATAAAGTTAATTGGCTCACATTGATATGAAAGTTATTTGGATGTTATAATTATTATTTTCTCATCTTTCATTTTCTCCGTGTTAAACTATTATTTTTGTCCTAACTGTTGAAAAGTACTTTATTCAGATTTTTACATAATACTTAATTTATATTAATATATTTTTGACTTTTTTTATACTGCAAATCAATTGTATCAATTCATTTTATTAAAGTTTTAATTATTTATTATTTTTTTTTTTTTACTAATCAGTACATTTAATATATAGCTATTATTACAAAGTATACCAAGTGTGGTTTTTTAGTAATAAGTACATAAGTCTTAAGCAGATTTAAAAACAGTATTTAATTTTATAGTTATTGGTTATAAATTCATATTTAAAATGATTTTTATTTGGAATTATTAAAATCGTTAAAGGACAAATCAATCATGTGTTGGTATATTGAACTTAGTATAAAAATCAATGATAAGCTGGCAATTCCGTTTGGTATAAATTCCACAAAGGTAAGTGTCCACCAGGGACAGGCGTTACAAGACTGCTGTATTATCAGTGTAAGTGTACAATGGATTCCAGACATTAACCATGTTGTACCGTTAATTTTAGATTACACTAAAATATTCTTAAAAATTAGTAGGTGGTAATGATGTTTTTTATAATTTTTCCCAGCTGTTTGTGTACTAATAGGGGATATATCCTTTCTAGTAATGAGGCTTAAATTTTTAGTGTTAACTATCCAACACAAATCTTAGGAATAACCGCCTATTTATAGGAATTAGATGGTACAACTATTATAAACAAATGAATTGTAAATGATTAAATGATGACTATAATAGATAAAATTATGTAAAAAAATTTCAAAAATAATATTACAGTGATGATGTTTCTAATTACAAAAAAAAAAAAATTGAGTAATAAAATATTCTTTATATCCTTCAATAAAGATTCATTAATGTTATGAATCTCATTAATACATGTTAAGAAGGTACAACTGTTTATTCGAATTTATTAGAAATTAATGATTTTATATTTTTTTTATAAACCACATAATGTAAAAAATACAAATATTAATACTGAATATTCAATTTCAATGAAACTATATAGTTTAAACCAGAACTTCAAACCATAATGATTTTTTGTCGTTAATGGTTTTCATTTATCTACTATTCTATTCGGGTTTAAGAACTGATTAATATTGATCTTATATTTTATAGTTTTTTAAAACCGGTTTTTATTGTGATAAACCGGTTAATTTTGTTCTTTTAAAAAAATATATTTTTGTACTTCAGACAATTCATTGTCATAACTATGAAATAATTAATTAAAAAATTCAACTATTGTGAGATATTCCTAAAATAAATTTATATACAAATATATATTAATATACAATAAATAATTTGATACACATTTTTAAGTTTTTATTACAATATTGAATATACTAACACATATAATGAACATTACTGCAATATTTATTATCGAGTAAGAGAAAAAAAGAAAAACATATTAATTCAAAATGTTGAACAAATTTACAAATATTTGATACAATTTAAGATAACACCGTTGTCCATTGAAAGCTGTATTGTAACAATAAACAATGTGGTTTCTGGTTGTCATTAATCGTGTTCACGTATTATCTACAGTAGTGTGGGGTTACTTTTACCAACTGTTCAATTTTTATCTTGCGAATTATTTTGAGAGCGCATAGAAAATCCAAAAATATTGTGTCCGAACCGCATATCAAACGAAAAATATTTTAGCCGAAACATCTTTTGTTGGACATGTATTTTATCAGAACAATATTTTAGCCGACAAACATTTCAACCGGCAGTATATTACCCGACAAATAATTTGGTCGACAATATTATAACCGACAGTATTTTAGCCGACGGTTTTTTGACCGACAATATTATAGCCGACAGTATTTTAGAAAATTATTTTATCGGTCATGTATCACCTACATCCCCATGGTTATTTATAATATCCCTCGTGGGATAAACTGTTCCCCTGTCATCTAAATCCCCTTGGGCCATCAATAGATTTAGATCTTATAGATCTACATGGTAATAATTACGGTTCTCTTAGTTAAACGATTTTATTTCCCCTCTAAAGATCTAGTTGATCTCAAAATTAGTGACCAACATTCTTTTAAATACTTGATGATGAATGTGTAAATATACAAAATTTTGTATCATTTTGATAAATTATAAATTTTGTAATATATAACATATTATTTCTGGAAATTACTATTTTGACATGATTGTTAGTCGTCAAAGTTATTTTCGTTCAAAATATTTGTCGGCTAAAATACGGTTCGGCCAGTGGCGTATATAGGTTTTCATTTCGGAGGGGGCTGATTATGTATTTGATTTTTGGGTGGAAAGGAAGGAGGAAGCACACTATTACGAAAAAAATTTCTTTAGTACTATAAGACTTCTCGTCAGTTTTTACACCATTAGAAAAATAAGAAATTCAATTTTTTTAATGATTTATTATTTTTTAAAAGTATAAAAATTACATTGTAATAAACAAATTTTTTATTAGAGTCACTCTAAATTCACCACATATTTTCTTAAAAGAATTAACATATTATATAAATATAAAATTTTAAATTATCGCATAAGCAACATTCTCAGTATCGCGAAACATTTTCGGAAACCCCCAGCATTAAGACATATCTATGTTAAAAATAACAATCTTTAACAATGGTGTTTTTCATTTCGGAGGGGGCCAGGGCCCCCTCGGCCCCTCCCCATAACCACTGGGTTCGGCCATAATATTTGTGGAATAAAATATTGTCGGTTAAATTATTTTCGGATCAAATACTGTCGTTCAAGATATTATCGGCTGAAATAATTTCTGGTAAAATATTTTCGGGCAAAATATTATTCGGTCTAAATATTTGTCGGCTAAAATACTGTCAGCAAAATTATTTTCGGAATTTTTATAGCCCTCCAATTATTTTTTATTTATCTAATAATTTTTATCTGTCTTTTGTCAAACAAAACAGGTTGGTTAATTTAACAAAATGTGTAAAAACTAAAATTAAATATTAATTATTTTTCGTAATTAAAAATTACGAAAAATATAAGAAAAATATTTTTCTTTTATTTCGTTTTCGTTCTATAAAATTAGTAATTGTGGTTCCATCTTTATTTCCGTTCATACATATTTTCCAATATAACCGGTCAATAAAAAAAAAACTGTTTTAACCGGTTTGAAGCCCTGGTTTAAACTGTATTTTTAAATTTGGTATGGTTAAATTAATTTGATTCGTAATTTCCTGAATAACTAAATAAAATCATTGGATTGAATCGAGTCAAGTGAATTATAGTTAATAATGTAGTAATAGTTAATAAATAATAATAATATTTTCATATCATTATTTATTAAATAAACTGAATAGATTAAATTAAATATAAGGTATAAAGATTAAAGACGAACAACAATACGTCCGTATTTATGTATTTATTTTATAACTGTGGATTAACTATTTAAAATTCCAGAATACCAGAAGAATACCATAATATGGTTATTATTGTGATTTAACTTCATCGAGAAATTATTTAAATTGACGGAGCTTCAGTGATGATTTGACTCGAATAAAGTTTACTATTTTGATCACTTGTGCCATTGTACCTTCGAGATTTAAATTTAACTTGCAACACAATACTTTGATGGATGATGTAGTGATAAGATATTATCTTGTTTTAGCATTTCGGATTATTAATTAGTCTGAACAAAATCTTTTTTGTTTCCAATCATCGATGGCGCGCTGTCTGTTGTTATTGAAATACATTTTTTCGTATTTAATTTATATTTTTCTAAATATTCTATAACAGCTTTATACCTATGTGTCTTCACCACAAGTGGTTCTTGACAGTGGTAATATAGTTAATATTTCTTCAACAAACTGTTCACTGGTATTGTCGAAATATCGTACAAAAATACACAATTGAGTTTTATCAGTCTTATTACACGATTCATCCATAGCTAAAGCATAATAACCTGTGGCCGATAAAGATTGTATTAATTTGAATGATTTTCCTTTGCTAATAATTCTGTATTTCGAGTATCTGAAGACGTAGATAACGGAATATTACGAGTAGTCTCCATAATATTATTTTTACTATCAAATAACACATTTCCAGCTTCAACTATACATTCTTTGATTATATCAGCATTGGTAAACAGTTTCATGTGTTTAGGAAGAATCCACGAAATATGTATTGAAGCCTCTGTACATTTTTCTTGTTCACTCATTGCCTTGTTATTAATTTGAGTTGATGTTGAATAAGATAAATATAAACTCTCAATTTTGGATTTACGAAGATTACTTCCTACCTGGTATTTTTCACTAAATGATTTGTGTTTAGTTTCATAATGTCTTTTCATATTTGAACTTTTGATGATGGCTACTGTTTGTTGACAAATCAAACAAACAGGTAAAGCTCTAATACGGTTAGGTAATGTAAAGCAATACAAATCAGTGGATTCTGGGAGAAACTATCGATTTTCAGCTTCTACTATTCTTTTTCTTTCTTTCCATATTCAAAATGCGTACAAGAAAAACTAATAACAACTAGAAATATCTAACTTTTGAACGCTAACTCGGATCTCGTCCGTCGCGTCGCGGCACATTCGGCTTTTATACTGCGGACTATACACGCGTTCTACGTAGACAGACGCTCGACGTTACGATCTTATCTTATTATTTATTATCTGATTTAAATTTAATATTATTAACATAATTTCACCACATTGGCTTTCCCTTATTTAGACAGATTATTTTCAATTACTTTAAATTATTTTATTATGTAATATATATTTTATATGACACATTTATAGTTTCTATATTACACAAATTTAAAAACTATTCCGTGGATAAGGGTCCGTAAAAAAAAGTGCTTCCGGTCCGCCAGTTGGTGACCCCTGTTCTAGAACGATCGACGATTATATACATCGGCTGGTCAGACGCTCAATTAGTCAGTCAGTCCGTGAGTACAATCCGTGACACACCGTGAATTATATTCCGCGACATTCTCCGCGATATATTCGGCAATTCCTCCGTAATTGTAATGCGTATCGATATTTGTTTTTCACATTAATGTACATACATATTTATGTAATATAGTGTTTATTTTAATTAAATTAAATTGCGAGTGATTTTCATTACCTCAATCCTACAATACAAATGATTGATAAAAAATTTATTTCTTACCATGAAATTAAAAAATGTTGATGGATAGGAAGAAAATAAGCCGGTGGCTCAGACAAAAACAAAAACTCTTGGTTAATACCTAGACAGTTCTAGTAGCATAGTTAGAACATTAGAAGTTCAACTTAAGTTTTCAAGAAATTAGTTCTACTACTATATAAACAAATTATAAAAATATAAGTTGATCCACATGTTTTCACTCAGAATCTTCTTTTCGAGAGCATTGGCACAAAAATTTAAAGTTTAAAAAACTAATATATTATATATTAATATCATCTTTTACAGTGTTTGGAAAGAAGGTCGTTCGTGCTATTACTTTCATATTTTGTGACACATTCAGATTGATTTAATATTTAAAAAATATTTGTGTAAATAATAAATATTGATTACTTCTATAATATTTTTAAGTGTAGGTTTTAAACATATTACATACAGAAAAATATACCTAATACACTTTGTGAAGTTCTCATTTATACAGAATGCAGATAGGTGATTTAACTATTTCTGTATACCCTAAATTCCTCGTTGCTTAAACATCAAACATTAAAAAACATAAAATATAAAAAGTTATTTTTTTTTAAATAAACTTCATAAGAAAATGACAAATCAACTAACTAACTTAATAATAAAAAAAGCTTAAATTTGAAAAATAAAATAATAATACATTTTTGACACAGTACAGATATTTTATTTCCTTATAAGAAATTTATTTTAAAAAAATCATCAAATAAATATTTCAATTTTGAAGTATTTATCAGATGATTAGTTAATTCAGTTGTTTGAGTACTTGAATCATCTTTTTTTAGGATTTTGGACGGGCCAGTATTTAAAACTTGTACAAACTGTTTCATAATTAAAATAATTAAATGAACAAGTTCATTTTTAAGCTCTAATCGTAAACGAGTTCAATTTTCAAATTAATGTTCCGAATACTGATCTTTCATCTCTCCCTAATTTTCACTCCACTTATCCAGCCAAAAAGTTTCGCTCTTATTTCAGTGTAAGCTTGTTTATTATCTTCATGTAATAAATATGTTTTATAAAATAGGTCATCAAAATGATTTCCAAAACAACAAATATCATCGAAGTATTGCTTCAGAATTCTGCATAAATTATTAAAATTACATATTTTTTTGATTTATATTACTGTGCTTATTTGAGATATAAAAATATATTTGTTACGGTGAAAGACGATAATTGGTAAAAGATTTTATTTACCAAAATTATTAATTAGTGTATATAAATATTGTAAAAAAGAACATTTTAAATTCAAGTTTACTACTTTCTTCGACCATTGACGTAATTTACTAAAACTGTTGGTAAATTATGATAAATCTCACATTTTTATAATAATAAACCAAATAATTATTTTATTATGTTAATTCACATAAATCAATAATAATCATTTATCAATAGGAAACTTGATTGAAACCAATCCTGTCCTTGCTGTACATTTTATATCATTCAATAGATTACCCAAATTCCAAGCCCGATTTTTTTGGAATTGCACAAATTTTAATACCATTGGCAGTGGCATATTTACATGTTTCTCACGTGTATGCCAATGGAAAATTACTGTTCTAAATAATTAAAATAATGTACTGCATTATCATTTAATAACCTACTATAATATATATATATATATATATATATATATTAATTAGGTATGTATACAAATAAGTTTCATTTAGATACTTAAACACAATTTCTTAAGATTATTAAGATATTTCAATTTATAATTAATTATAAAACATATTATTCAAATTTGCCGCGTTAGTGCTTGCCATGGTTTAAAATATACTTATATAAATATATTTTAACCATGGTGACCATCTTTTTTAATTTGTAATAGGTATATGTCAATAACCAGCGAATGTTTACAGTTACAACATTTACCAATTTTTTAAGGAAATGACGTAATTTACAGGTAAATTACGTCATTCACTGTAACATATAAATCCTTTTACTAAAATATAATATTTAAGTATGCTATTCATGTTCTTATGATTATTCATTACATGTGTGATATTGTTTTATAATTTACCATATTAGATTTGAATTATTGACTTTGCATGTTAATAAGCAATTGTTTGATATATATACTTTTTTTACTTTAATACTTTTGGAATAACCTTGAGATCAAGAACATAGAATAAAAAATATATATTTAAAAAGCGTGATAAGAGATATTGGTTTAATAATTATTATAAAGAAAAATATTGATTCTTACGTAGTTGGTCAACACAACTGTTGAAATTAAAGATCGCTTTTGAATAAAATAATAAAAAGTAAATAATGATAACACATTGAGCGAATTAGGTTGTCAAAAATACGTTTAATTTCACGCTTTTTGATATCCATAATTAATGATGTAGTTGTACGATTTATTAACCTTTTATTAGAATTGTATGCTGCCATCTAAAATGTTTGTTGATATCTTTAATTTGTTATTCAGAGATATGACTGTTTTAGTAGAATACTTCAATTACATGTATAACTGAAAAAGATATTGATTGATATTTAAGCACTGAACTTTTACTTCCGCAGAGCTAATGGCTTGACTGATTTCTTTCAGTTCATTATTATTATTATTTATATTCTTATTGTTTTACTTTTAGCTGGAAAACTAATTAAATTATTATTTGGTTAGGTATTATATATTACATCAACAACCCGTATAAATTTTTATGAAAATATAAATTTAAAATATACGATTTTAAATTATTAGTTATAAACAAATAATTCTCAGGTCTAATTTGATATGCCGATGAATATCGTCTTTTGGCATTTCGAATAAATTACTCTTGCATTAAATGGCTTTTTATAGCCATCCTTCATATTTTAACTAATAGTACACCAGAATGGTATAATATCAATTAGAATGACGGTAGTTATCTTTTATATTCTATAATAAAAATAGTACCAATTGATTGCGTTTTATGGACATTTCCTGGCAAAATGTTCTTAGATTTCATACAATGTAAATTTTTTTCATTAAGTTAACGGATTTTATGTTTTACAATCATTTTTAGTAAAACAATTGATTTTTGCTCGTTGCTGTTTTTCAAGATAGATGTTAACTGGACAGCCTTCGTCAGAATAATGAGAAAGTGTTGATAAAAAAAAACCAGTATTCACTATGAAATTACATTTAATTAAATAAAGTATATTTATATTTTATTGTGTTATATTATATATTATAATATGTACAATTACATTACTGCAATAATAAATATAGGAACAAAAAGAAAAAAAAAGTTGTAAAAACAAAAAATAAAATAATAATTATAAACTATATTAATCAGTTTATAAAACATGTGAAAAGAGATTACGTTAAAAAATACACTTTGCAGTCTTTCTTGACGAGTTCGAACTCCAATACTAAAAGAATTGCAGTATAAAAAGGAACTGTTCTATACAAAATATATTATTATGTATGTATGAATATACATATTTACATATATATATATGTATATGCAATATGTATATAAATCCAATTAAGTTCACTAAACAATCGCACTTGTCGAAAGGACATTTCAAAATATACATTACAACCGTGAAGAAAGTATTCTAATTAGATTTAACGATAGCAGTATATTATATTATAACCTAAGCGAAAATTAAGGTTAGTAGTAAGACATTTCTATAGTATAGGTTGTATTACATAGTAGAGACTAAAACGTTACCATCTACAGTCGTGACGAACGCTACGTGTTTCTCGTATGCAAAGTGTCTTAAGAATATGAATATTATAATAAAAAAAGAGTTAATTATACATAGATATGTATATATAAGGTATTTATTTCCTCCTTCGTGAATAAAACTACGACGACATCGTAACAACGCAAATCCCTTCGACGGCGTTTCCACTCGAATTCCTATGTGGCATTGACTAATTTTCTTCTTCTTCATCTTCGTCTTCTCCTTAATCTTCCGCTATTCATATACATACACGCCGCCGACGGATTTGTTTCACACGTTTAAGACGCGTACGTACAGTAATAGCGATCAAACAAAATCTTCTAGTATTATGTGGGTTTTATAAAAAAAAAAAAAAAAAAAAAAAACAATAATCTGAATAATATTATAATATACTTTTATGTGTCTATTCTCGCCAAGATACCGTCTCACTCGATTCGCGTTTTCGTGTACTCGTGTTGCATAATAACATATATGATATACAGTGCGGTGCTACGGTCATACATTGTGCAGTACAACTACAACAGTGGTAAAGCAGTATAAAACGATAAAATAAAACATTAATTGGAAAACGTATTAAACGAGCATTATACCGCGTTGAAGCATAATAAAGAGTCGTATAATAAACAAGTTATGCAGTTCTATGTCATATTGATTTTATATATATATAGTTGCAATGTAATAGTAGTAGTATTTAACAAGTAACTAGTTGTAGTAGTAGTTAGAAGTATTATAGTAGTAATAACTAAAAGTAGTAGTAGTGCACTGTGCATTATGCATTTTTTTTTTAATTTTTTTTTATATATTTTTTTTTTTTTTTTGCGAGGAGACGTCTTCCGTTTTCTGTTTAGGACGCGATGTACATCAAGTGGAATGACGTGCACATCATGGTGATCACGTTGCCCATGGCCACGCAAAGATGCACTTGTCGGAATGCTCGGTGGATAGCCATGTAGTGTGGACAGTCGACCAACCGTCCTAGGTCGTAGTTGCCCACCACGGTGCCCACGCCCGCCGACTTCTCGATGGCCATTTTCATGGAGATGAGCCGTAACAGTGGCGGCACAGCGTACAGACGGATCACCAACTCCAGCAGGAAGCACAGGCTCAACACGAACAGCTGTATAAGAACACGGAGAAACAAGAACCGTTGTAGTGTGATGTGCGATATAATATAAGTTATGAACGTGGAGGTTCGAAATACAGTGGGCGAGGGTGGATGGGTGAGGAGGCTCACGACGTTACGGGGAAACGACAAAATATATTCAAATCGTGTTCGAAAAGTTACGACAATTGAACTACATGGAACAGTAGGCCAAGGTAGGTCTTAGAATATTTTAATCCAATCAGTGTGGTTTCGTTTTCTCCCCAACGCCGGGTTAAGACGTTTTGATAATTGTCTTATTCTCGTACGCGTCCGGGTGATTCGTTAAAAAGGTTTTTACACAATTTTATTCGAAAACGGGTTTAGCTAAAGTCCGATGACTCGGGATTACGATTTACATTTCTATCTGTCCGATACCTAATACCCGTATAATATGTATCCCGTGTCTGCGTACAACCTATACACTATGTACTGGTGTACAGCGAGAGACGGGTTACTCGACCGGTATACGCACGTATATTATGGAGGTCGTCTTCGATATTTACATTCGTCCGGCGTCACACGGTATCGGTAGTACGTGTGGATTTAAAAATAAATCCGTCGAGGTATTCCGTCCGATGACAAAGACGCGTTACAAGATCCATTTTCGCCTCTCTCCGGCCACGCGATCAATGGGTACGATAACGTACGGCAGACGCGCACGAATTCCAGACGGAACATGTAATGTAGGACGACGCGACGAGGGTGGAGGGCGTCATTCGACGATGAATACGCACGTACGCCGTGACCGACACAATGCGTAATTTTTAGGTGATAGTTGCACTAATGGCTTACTTATAACTGAGTTTTTCGGGATATTGTAAACTATGACAAAATTAACCTTTTTCAAAAGTCGATTTGTTAACTGCGGCGTTAAAAATTTTAACATTATACAATCTGCGATAAAACCGATAAGATAAATTATACAAGTTGCAGCAATTAATTTTATTATACCTACGGTATTAAGCAGTGCGATTCCTTTTAAAGGAACATTAAATAATTCTGTTCAGTAACATTCGATTAATGTGCAGTTTTCAGAAATCTTCGGAAGAAGATAGGGAATGCCTAAATACATACTTTTCTATGGTTTTCAAATTTTTAACCTTTTTATTGTGCTTATGCAAAACACAACTTGTATTTTTTTTAAACTCTTTTAATAAAAATTAATATATGTATTTATAAATTTTATCAATGCAATTATAAGTGTTTTTTTTTTGTTTTCGTAGATTTGCAGAGATTTTTTAAATCTGCGTATCTGATCTGTAAATCTACGGATACAAAAAAATAAGACTTAAAGTTGCATGATAAGTATAATCGAAACTTTAACTCGTTGTCATTTAGTCAATTTAGGTTTTAGAGTGACGGTAAAAAGGATCAAATTGACTTCATAAATGTTGGTCTATCTAAATTTGTTATTAAAAGTAGGTGTTGATGTTTAAAATAATACAAGTTGTATGCGTATGCGCATAATAAAATGGTTAACAATTTGAAAACCATCGAAAAATATGTATTTAGGTATTCCCTATCTTCTCCAAAAACTGCACATCAGTCGGATGTTACTGAACAGAATTATTTAGTGTTAACTTTAAAAAGAATCGCACTGTATAATACCGTGGGTACATAAAACGAATTGCTGCAACTTGTATAATGTATGTTATCGGTTTTGTCACAGATTGTATAATGTTAAATTTTTTCTTGCCGCAGTTTACATATCGACTTTTAGAAAAAGATTAATTTTGCTGCAGTTTACATACAGCCAGTTGTTCTACGCGGAGTAAGGGTGCAGACGGGTTCGGTTCGTGATGGGGTCGCGCGTATCGGGTTCAGTCCAATGACGTGGGTACATAAAAGGTGTGATAGAGGTGCGTATGTTCATACATCGCCCCACCCTCTTCCGGAACATATTTTGTGCGTTGATATGTGTAGCAACGTGTTGTTGGTTTCAAGGATCCGACTCACAAATATCTATCTGAAGAATATAACCGGAGAACAATTGAATTGAACGCACGGTAAAAGGACATAGTTTCTTTCAGACACAATGGGCATTGATCTCTTTGGGACAAATATTTCATATCGCCCCGGGTGGAAAAAAAAGGTCTTTAATTAGGTGTATGCCATTGGTTCGGCGCACGATGATTATAAAGATATGAGGGCGCACCTCAGAGAATTTTAACACCATTCTTGTGCAAAACGTGTTAATCCTGTACGCACCTGTGTGTACGTGTATACGTCCCACATGTTGGCTGCGACGTGAATCTTGCTGAATTGGATGAGTGTGATGGCGCTCAAAACGCTGTTCAATGAGAAGTATTTGGGGAACAGAATTCTCTGGACATCACCAAAAGCGTGTCTGGTCAGGTTAAAGTACAAGCTCAGTCCTGGAAAGAAAAAAAAACATTATAACGTACATAATCTACTGTGAGAATAGATAGTCATAATAATTCTTCATTATCTATGACTGCGAATGGCGCAAATCGATAACTGTTTACCAAATAGTCAAACATAGTTTCAACTTGGTTTTGAAACCCGGGGTACCTAACCAAACCTGAGAAACCGGGTACAAACCAAAATTAAAATTAATTTAAAAAATGTTTAACCAAATTCAAGTGTGAACCAATTTGAAATAAATAAATAAGTAAAAGTTATTATTATTATCGTCGTCACTTCTTGAAAAAGAATCATGTACCTACGCATATGGCGACGTTATGATGTGCTAAATTCATTTTGCGTACGCACGTATACAGCTCTATTTCCGTCAAGTCGAAATAGTGTACTCGTTGCGCACATCGCTAAAAGTCGCTCTCATTGTTCACTGCGATTAATTGCCCCCGACGCGGTGAATAAATTATAATGTACCACCACATGCGTGTGCCGCGAGTCAACCGACAGAAAATGATTACGGATAACCTGCATTGGTGACCACGAGCTAAGATGCCAGTAAAGTGGTGGTCGGCTAAAATTATAATATTTTAACTCGTCTCCTTCGTGCGTATGCCAAGAGTTTCATAAACAAGGGGAAAAAACTGTGTCTGCACACACATAGTTGATGTTTCGAAAAGCGAAACGTTTTACCTTATAGACACGCGTTCACCTATTCTTAAAAGTCGAGTTATTTTTAAATACTCGCGAACAGTGTAGAACACAGCAAGAGTTTTTCGTTGTTGTTAATTTCTTCGTTCACGCGTTATTATGTTAGTACTTAGTACTCATTGCACGGTTTATGACCGCAGAAAATCACGTCGCCCACGGCGATGTTTACTCGGCGGTTAAAACTGGGTTATTAATATTTAATATTATATACGTTTCGAGTTCGTATTGAATGGTAAATTATACAGGTAATAGGAGAACTAATGGCCACACGTTCGTAGCACAATGATACATCTGGGGGCTGATTCGCGTCGGTCTGCAGTGACGTGTACGTGCGAGGTAAGTTTCCGCCCATGGCCAATACCACCCAGAAACGTCTGAATAGTGCATAACATAGGATATTAATATTATTGTACACAATAAGAGTTTTTACAAACCCCTTGAACGAAACGAGTTATGCTCGGAGGGAGAACCCAATCCGTCCCAAAGCTTATACACAACAGTCTTGGTGCGTTGAAAACGCGACTGGATTTGGTTTAGAACGTGATAATATTATGTATACGTTTTTCAACAAAATATTTGCGCGGTGAAACGAGTAAGAAAAAACGTATTCCTCGCTTCACTTCGGAATCTAAAAATCTCAAAAAGTATAGCGATCAATTTTTTACCGAAACCCGTCTTTGATGGCACTACAATTATTAATAGCGATATATATTATACACGATCAAGTATATACAGTGCTGTCTGTACGCTGTTCACGTAACGACATTATTCTTTATGCTATTTGTTTATTGTCGTCGACTGCTGTTTTTGTTTTCAGTTAGGCTTGTTTTATTATTTATTTATTTATTTTTTTTTGATCCCTATCAAACAACTCACCGGAAATGAATGTCATCCAGAATTGTGCTCCCACGTGTGTACAGAATGCGGCCAGGTAGACGAAGTTGACAAACGACCTGGGTTTGATTTCACCGTTGGCGTTCGACGTCCTTTTGATGTTGTTGGGTAACATGGATGCAGCAACCAGAGTGACGGCCAACATCATTATGACGTGGGCGGGTTGAACGAAGAACATTACCCTGCGACAGAAATAAAGTGTTACCTTTCAGTATTTACATCAATTATTAATCCAATTCCGCGGTCAGTAGCATATGTAGGGGAGTTTGGGTTCAACTCCCTCCATTGCCAAAATTCCAGCTAGTAAATAAATAAATAATAATACAAATGATTATTACTTAAATACATCAAACCGTCCCCATAAATAATTTTTACCTACGCCCTTGGCCGCGGTACATAAAATACGATGATGCACAATGTTATTATGTGCGATATTAGAACGGATAATAAATTACTGTGCGTTAATCGCATTCGGGATAGCCATTGGAGAACACATTTCAATGAGCCGAAAAAACTTGTTGGCCACTAAGTATTTGTCATTGACAAACCTTCAATTCACTTTTATCAAGATTAAAATTTATTTACACTTTTAATTTTTGTAACAATGTTATAATCTTGTTTGTAATTGTAAAGTTAAATCAAAAATGTTCTTTATCCTATGTATGCAAGTAATACGTATATTATATTTTATACAAATTATAATTTTAGAATTTAGTTTCAAATTTACATGTATTACGAGTATATAATATACGGACGGAAAATTATTTGAAATTTGAGGAGTACCTGTCATTGTAAATTATTCATTGTTATCTGTTGTAAACCTAACATGATCATTTATCGGAATCGATGATGATACACTCACAGATATTATATTTATTCATTACTTATTTCTTTGTTCCTAAGGGTTTTCATCACAGTATAAGTTGTATTTTCTATATTATTTCTACTTTGGATGATTTAGGGGTACGTTTAAAAAAAAATTAATCAGTTTGGCTTACATTGAAGAACGTAAGCAAAGGATGTTAAAAATGTTCGTTTTAATTGGCATTTAACTAAAGGTATTATTTTTACATAATAGTTTCACTTTGTAGTTTGGTTAATTTTGCGTTGCAATCTTTTAGTTATTTTTAATGTAATGCTTTGAAATGTACCGTACACACACTTTAAAAATAAATTCCCAACAAATTAAAATATAACTATATTATATGACAAGATAATTAATTAATACTGACCATTATATTATTATTAATATAAACACTGTTTAGAAAGCGGACCCTTGAAATATTATACCTTTGATATTGACATGTATTTAAAAATATAAATGCTATGGCTCGATTAAGTGTCCATTAGCATGAAAATCTCATAATAAGTGGATACAAATACTAATCGTGAATTCTATCAATATTAATATTTACTAATGAAGTAATTATTGTTTTAATTTATAAATAAGTAATATTTTATTATCATATAACTAATATAATTTATGTATATAAGCGTATAAATAATTCACTTAACATTTTTTAATATTATTTTATGACTATTTCATTATGATCATATTGCAATACAATAAAAATCATTAATTCTGTTAATATTCATTAAAAATTGTTTTTGGTATTAAGTTATTACAATATATGTTTCAATCAATATGAACGAAAACGTTTTTGATTGATTTTACATATTTAATTCGAAAATAATGTATTCATGAACTGAATTTAAAAATATTTTTAAAAATATTCTTGAAAAAAATTATCAGTAACTTGTTTTACATAAATATTAATGAGCAAAACCAACAGAAATAAACATTCGGTTTTAATTTGCTTTCCTATTATTAGACTGATTTCAGATTTTCAGTGATAAATTTCACATATTGTTGGGTACCCTTGATTTTTAACAATCGATTATTATTGTTCCCGAGACTTGCCTGTCGCTAACTAGTCTGGTATGCCCTTGGGGTTAAATTTCTTATAAACAAAATTCTATTGTTTTCTTTTGTTTTTTGCCATCTAAATAAATACACTGAGTTATTATTAACACCAATTATATAGTTATATAATTAATAAAATATGTAATATAAAATTAAATCACTTATTTCTGATTTTGAATAATAAACAATAAAGATTGAATTGTTTAGTATTATTTTTAAGGTGAAGCAATTAAAAAGTTCAAAAGGTACCTAAACTATGGCGGTTAATACCAAATATAAAGAGTATAAATAAGGTATAAAGAGATGCAATTGTACTAGAACGAATGATTCAAAAAAAAAAAAAAAAAAAAAAAAAATAATAAAAATGACGCTTTATAAACTCAAATTAATAGTCTGAAGTTCACAGATTAACCATTGGACTAAATTTTAGAAACTTTAAACCACTATTCACTATTAATTATTATGAGATATTGTATTAATGTTATGAACACGAGCATGTCGAGTTTTCAAATTTTTTTATTTGAATAAAACAAAATTTAACTAAAATAAATTACGAGTATGGTATATTAGCATGGTATCGTATTACGATGAACATTCTTCTTATCGCATTTTATGCAACTATATTATGAAACATAATATTATTATGTAGATTTTTGAAAACTACAAGGAAACGAAATATAACCAAAATTTTGATTGTTTATTCTATTTTTAATTGTTCAGTAATTCAAGATGAATACTTGTAATTGCAATTGTTTTCGTTTAAAAATATTTTGTCATTTTATTATGATGCCGAAATCTGTAAGTACAGATTGGTCGTACGCGTTGTGTATAGAATAATGAGTTTTACATCAAACTTTTTGTTTGCTCAAAAATGATTTAATACTTTATGTAAATATATTATAAATACGTGTAATCCAATATAATCGAACATATGATACCGATTATGACGTTCAGTCAGAACGTATATGTATCGTGATATACGTATGCAAACTTACACAAATATATGCATTTTTAATTTCTCTTCGAATTACCTATTCAACTACCAATTCGTGATTTGGCATAATGACTGTACATGTTTTACTTGGGCATATATAGACATATCGTATTCCACCTGCGATTGAAACTTTACTCCGAAATACCATCGATCGCCATAGGCCGTGAAAACGCAGCTGATCGGCAGATATAAGTAGTACAGTAGTCATTCGATAATTCGAAATTCAGAGGACTAAGCAAAAAATTTTATTTATAGAGGTTTACCGAGTGTTCGAATAATCCAGGAAAAAAAATTAATTCGAATTAAAGAGGGGTGAAAAATTATATGTTTATATTACATTTATTAACTGACATTTATTTATTATACATATTATGTATTATATTTTACATTTATTTATTATATTGTTATATTTTACATTTTAAAGAAATCCGTTCTTTTTTTTTGTGTTAAATTGTTGGCCACAATCTGGTCCATAGCGTTATCTAACTTACTGATAGCATTAGAAATTGTATCGCATCCTTTTTCGTATATTTCAGAATGCTCGAAAAATGTTCGCAATCCTGACATAAAAATGGTAAAATGATACGATTAAAGTCTAGATTAGGTAGGTAAGGTACGATAAAATTTATAAGCTACGATAATATTTAATCACCGTCTTTATTAATTTCACTGCGAATACGTCAAATAGATATACATCTGAATAAACTTCATACATATGAACATAAGTATTATCGCGTTAAAGCAAATTCGAATTATTGAGGTTTTGGAAAAAAAAAATTTGAACTGTAGAGTGAGTCCTACCAACAAACATTTCTAATTATCGAGGGGACTGGAATACATGTATTTTCTTCTAATTATAGAGGTTTTCTCAGGGGACTAAGCGTTTAGTTCGATTTATGGAGTTTTTCGAATTATCGAGGTTCAAATTATCGAGTGACTACTGTATTATACATGTGATTAATAACTATTAATCTAACCGTGGTAGGAGTTGAACGTCTGGAACAAAGCGGTTTTTGTACAAGCTAAACAAGTTTGTGAAGTTCGAGACGACGATAGTTAATGAGAAACGAATGGTAGACGATGTACCAAGAACTCGGACATGTTTTTATGATCAATCAAACATAACAGAAAATCGAAATACCTGCGTACATAACCAATTAATGTAATGTTATATGGTTATGCATTTTAAACTCAGTTCTCGAGCAAAATGATTGCAATAGCAGAACACTGCAGGTACGTCTAGAAGACTAGTATAACTTATGAAACATATTATGCAATACCTGTGTATTTGATCATTTGAGTCGGAATTAGTAATTTAGGTTTCATTGACTAAATTCTTAATTTTTCAAATTGAATGTATAATATAAATATAAATCTAACAGAGTTAGGTAGAGTGAAAACAATGATTACCTACTTGAAATGAATACATGATATAATTGATATGTATATGATACAATTGTTAAATTGATTATTCTTAAAACAATAAGGTTCGAAGATAATAGAAGTCGTGAAAACCGTAATTTTTTTCGGTTCCTGTTAGAAAATCGTATTATTCGCTTGGAAACATTGTTCACCCCTATAAGCACGTTGCGCCTACGCACTGATCCGCGTAGAAGTCTGATAATACAAGCGATACGTGTATGTATGTAATTACACTTACTTGTAAGCCTGCGATTTCTGCACATCTTCTAAGAATGAGGTGCACTTGTGCACGGTGCTCTTGGTCACGGTCATCATAGCGGTCATCAGGGTGTCGTTGGGTTTCTTCAGCTCAACTTTTTCGACGGCCGGCGGGTGCTCCGTTGACGGTGCCGTCGTCGTCTCGTTGTTGGCCAAATACTTGTAGGCCGCCGAGTCGGCCATCGACATCCAAAGGTGGTGGTGACCATGTCCTGGTTTGAAATTGTTGTGATTCGCCGTTCCACACATCGTAATCGACGTGTGATGATCAGATGTTATCGTATTTATATATATATATATATATATATGTGTGTGTGTGTATATATATATATTTATATATATATATTAAAATATATATATATAAAAATATATATATTTGTTCGTATTAGATGTACGGTGACGAGACTGTGATGATCGGTTTACGGCGACGAAATCAAATACGATTCAAAACTGTGCGTGAATCAGCAGATACTACTACTCGGTGATGATCGAACGATTAGCATTTTACACCGCCGCAAAATGAAGACTGAAACATGGAAATGTGTGATGCACTGCAAGAGCCGTGAAACGATACGAGCGCGCTTAATGTTTTCACTGAAAAGGACTAATGGTCGGGCAACGAGACTATATATATACGGCCGCCCGCGGGGCGGCGGCTGCATGGCCTACGTGACTGAAACGTCGAGGCGGCGTTTACACGGTCGGCATGTTCCAATCGCTTCAGGTCGTGCCGCAGTGTAGATGGGAGGGATAGCAAGAGGAGTGAGTGGAGAGTGACTCTTGGATTTTTTTTTTTTCAATTTAAATGTTTCAACGTACTAATTTTTTCGACGACACGCGTACGCACGCATTAACCATCTCGAACGACACGCGTCCATGGCAAAATTTTTCCGGGTCACTAAATCGCGATCGATTTTTTTTTCCCGCACCCCCATCGTCAGCCAGAACGGGGGGGTTTTTTTTTTATTATTATTTATCGGAATCAGCTGACCCCTAATACCGGTCAATGTCATCGGGCCGTCCAAATCAGATGTACGGTGCTCGGACACGTGTCTCGGATATTGTTAGGTGTAAATAATCAAATCATTAAACGCGACGGTCGACACGTCTGACGGACGGCCGTCGACGATCACCATAACAGTAATATTTATTAATAGTTAATAAAAATGTTGTCGTATCACACGTCATGTGTGCTGCTGCGGGTCTCGTGTTTTCAACTAATCTTACAGCGGAAACGTACATCATCTTTCTGCGACGGTCCTTGGTTATTGACGACGACGTGTGGCAAAACGAAAAGATTGATATTAAGATGTAATTGAATAATTCGCTGTTCGACGATTTTATCTACATATGCCATAATGAGAGGTCGGTGGTTAAGACATTGTTTCAGTATGACGCGGGTATACGAGTATATTATAATAATGAATTGTATCGATACCGTGCAGTGCATAAATGTGGTGTACGTTCGTTTGATGTGATCGTCCTGTGGCATATTTTTGTAAACTCCTTTCCAATTCGCGCAACGACGTTTTTCGTGTCCGCGATCACAATTTCGGTGGTAGTGATTAATGGCTTAAGTTTCTGTAGATAAATACAGGCAATATTGGAACACAATTAGGGTACGTTCCCTCGATCAAAACTCAAATGAACATGACTACGTGCTACAATAATTATCACATCTCATAGCATTGTGTTCTTTTTCTTTTGTCGATTGTAAAATGTACATTTTTAATAACTGAATATTCAATATTAATCGACAATCGCGATTGTTGTCTAAACAAAAGAATCCAAGTTCAGTAAATCCTAAAAATGTAATATAATACGAATTCTTTGTTTTGTGTTATCAACGTCGATATATGTTACATCGGAATTAAAATGAATTAAATTGTTTGGAGTTCTTTGATGAATATGTACGTGACAATAATAATGTGTTATAGGCAGAATTGGAAAAACTTCGCCGACCAAGATATCTATCTTTGAATGTTCTAAAAATATATCATTGGCCTATATTTTTATTTCAACACAACTTTTCGGAAGTCTGTTTTAAATTTGTTCGAGCATGCACGGTTTTCTCGCCTAGATTTTATCGAGAGCTCATCCGGCTCGGCTTGAACTGTCAGTCCAAAATCAGTAGGTGCGTGTGTTATGACATTGAGTATTATAGAGATGCCATAAAATATGCAGTCATACATAACCACGCATGAAGCAACTAAAACCTCGTGAGTAGTATGATCAAATGAGTAAAAATATATTTCAGAAAAATACTTACACTGCACGAAATCGTATTTTTAAATAAATATATATAAAATTATTTAGAATATATATATATATATATATATATATATATATATATATTTGAATATCTAGCTTATTTGTATCTGAGGATACATTGATATTATTAAAAGAGCATCATCTATTAGTAAGTACAAATTCACCGTTATAAAAACCGATCACAACGATGGCCGATGGGTGTTTGATTTAATTAATTGATATGGTAAGTTTTTTTTGGAAGACATACTTTAGTGAACATTTATACAAAAATGTGTATCAAAATGTCAAAAATATATCATTTCAAATATATAATATTATTATAGACGTAATATAATTTTTAGTGCGATAAATCAAATCTAGGAGTGGTGGTAATAATAACTTTCATTAGTTTTCGTCGAACATTATTGTAAATTTAGAAATTTCAAGGTTTGAGTAAATCCATTTAACAATCACTAGAGCACCATACATGGTTATTGAAATTAATTATACTTAGGATTTATATTTTTATTGTTGACTAAATTTGTTAACTATTTTCAATAATATTTTATCAAATTTTTTTTAGACATTTGTTAGTATTCAGTGTGCTTACATTAGCCACTATTTATAAACGAGGACACATTTATACAAGGTATAAATACTTATATTTGTTAGTACCAAACCAATACGATTTTCCCTATCTGCAGATTTAAGAAAACTAAAAAATATTAAATGTTGAACATTAAAGCGGCGCATCGTTTAAATATTATCTTTATTTAATTTTAAATATTATCTCTTTGATGTACTTTTTTATTTGTGAGCTAATTATACAACGTACCTAAGACTTGTTACAGGCTATCATGTTTTAAAACGCATGAACAACTAGATAGTTCACCTTTGATATGAACGATAGGCAGCCATATATAATTTATATGTAATAACTTATTTTATATACATTATTATTAATAACCTTTGTTAGTGTGCTTTAAAAATATATTACTCAACACTTATGTAGAACAGCGTTTTTTTTATTTTGCTAATATTAAAAAGATTCATAAATATACTCTTATTTGTTTACATACATGATTAAAATTAAACAACTTAATTATTGTATAAAAATGGATGAATTGTATTGTATTAAATTAATATGTCTTCCGAGTTTACTACATTTATATTATGGTACCTACTTATAAAGTGAGTTATAATGTTATATAATTAGTATTTACATAAATTAAATAATTCTTTGTTAATAGTAATTTGGAATAAATAATAATTGTGAATTATTGAATAAAATAATAAAATAATGTCTTACCCAATGAGCTCATAAAATTATTAAGCTGAAATTATTCAGAAAATCCATCGTTTTATATTATTGTTAAATTATTCAAATTTATAACCATTAACTATCAAAATTATATTACTTAATATATAGATATACAGTATACGTAATGATTGTAGATGGAGTATAAGTTAAAATGATAGGAAATTAATAATACAATTAATAACTATGGACGGATCTATTAACTATGTTAATAGGTCTATATTAATAAGCAATGTATTTATATTTTTAAGATATCAATGTCTAATAAGAATTCATTTTAAACAATCTCTTCTATTAAAATAATTTATCTCTATGTTAAACGACCAATTTTTTTCTCAATACATTTCTTCCTTTATTTTTCATATTTAGATTGATGATGATGATCCTAATGATATATTTTTAATTCAAAATCATCAGTCGTACATTACAAACATAATAATATTTCTGGCTAAGTATTTATTTATTTTTATTTATTTCTATGTATAAACTATTAATTTGTATATTTATATGAAATTATTATTATCTTAATGAATTTATAGCTAATGCAGCCTTTTACTACGTATTTTGTAATATTTGGGTGTCTAATGAAAATACGTATGTTGATTCATGAATTTAAATTTAGTCATTTATACATGTACTATATAGGTTATTCATTAAATAGGAAATCATTTTCATATTTACTTATAGTCTATAGTAAATAAACAAATTCTGAATAACTTTTTTGTAAGAAATATTTTAAGTATCTTGTATTTAAAATGAATAACAGTTAAACAGTCCGTTTGCCAGTTGGCTCTAATTTTTTGTTAAAACAAAAATATATTGTTTTTACTATCGATAGAGCCATATTTATAAATACATTATAATATTATATATCATTATGTGCTTGTTTACTAATAATGTGTATCAAGTACCTGTGCCAAGAAAAAGAAAACATTCATTGAATTTTGAAAATATTGTGATCTTGATAGAAGCTTAAATTTTCGAAAGTGGTTGTGACATTTCAGCATATGGCTTGAATTAACTATTACGCATAGTACGTAGTATTTTATTAATCACTAGTACAATTTCGAGGACAGTATTTGTTTATTTTATATCCATACGTTATTATTAAACAAACGTAAGATAATTACACGAGAAAGAAAAATGTACAACAACTATTAAGATTTCTGATTTATATTCTTCGATGATAATAGTAATAACAATAATAATAATAATAATAATAAAAATACGAATAAAGGTATTAGGTATGTATTATACATTATTTGGAAATAAAAATATAATATTACATTATAAAGAACGAATATTTATCTGCAGAACTCATTATTATTTGTATGATTCTATTGAAAATAATCTTTTTATCATTGTGTATAATTAAGACATCGATAGATTCAAGACAAATAATGTTTATTGAATATTAACTGGACTAGAAAATTCTCGAAAGTTAATCGTACATTTAATTTTCTCAATTAATAGCACAATATTTTATTATTTAAATATTATATTTATTATAAAATTATTTACAACGTGATGTTTTTCGGTAGTTCTCGCGTATCTAATCGTCGTGGTTACTGATAAATACGATAACCGGTGACTGGTAACTTCGATCGTTCATGTTTAGACTACTGGGAGTATAATGCCCGTACAAGTAATGTATATTTTGTCATGATTCTTGTGAAAAATC